AGCGCTATCTGCGCATGCTTTTCTAATGACCTCGAATATCAAATTTGGTGGTGGTACCAGCCAGTTATTTTCCCCTTGCCAATTTTGTGTGAAAGCGTCAATAACTTCTGTATCTTTGCACCACCATTTTTAATTAAACCTAAAACATTTACTGTTATAATCAGTAGCAAATCTTTCTACAGAATGTTTTTCCCATAGCTCATCAAGCATAGCAAACACTTCAAAATGAATTCCCCAATCATCGCAATCTGAATATCTACTTAAATTATCAGCTATTTTGTTTCGTTCCCGAGGAACCCATTGTGTCTTAATACTTATATTGTTTTCTGTGCACAATTCATTTAATTCGCAAGCAATTTCTAGAAGCTCAGTCTTTCTACTACCATTCATTATTATGCTTGTAACGTTTTTATTATCAGTATTCTGTTGAACTGTGTGATTTTTAGCATCGTAACGGAACTTTTGACTACTCTACTGACTGCTTCAAGCTTTCTCCATGTACAGCTTTTAACACTTTCAGATACCGACCAGTTACTAGTAACAATTATCGAACTGTTATTGGGAACTTCTAGACTACAATCAGTCATTTTCAAAGTACAATCAGAGTCACAGACAGACTCCGTATCTGCTGGGACTACATATCCCCCAAAGCCGACATTAGAAGCGTCAGTATACCCCATAAATCACAAATATCTGACTTATGAATATTAAAACCCTTTATATAAAAGTTTTGTAAGTTCTCAAACCAAAAATATAGCTTTTCAATAGCAACAGAATTCAAAACTACAAGTGAGTTCCATCTTGCTCTCAATAAAAGACAATTGTAAAGTTCTCTAGTTCTAAGTCTAAAAACATTTCCCATTACAGACATCATTGATATTATTTGTCCAACAATACCAGCTACAAATCTAGCATTGTACAAAAGCTTACCGTTACCTATATTTTAAGTGTCTTGTCAATAACCGAAAGAAGTCTTTCGACTCCCTCCTCAGCAATACTGAATTTTCCAAATTGCATTTCTCAAACTAACTATATCCAAGTTATATTCTGTACAGGCAACCATGTACATTTCTCTTCTGCTATTAAAAATAAACTCTGTCAAACTTTGTCTTATAAAAGTGTTAACACGGTGTGCACAATCAAAATTACTGTCTCCACCCAGACCATCATCTATATACATTATGATTTTCAAGCCTTGACTCCTCCAATACTTAACAAATTCTTTTGTAAGTTTGGTAAATATATGACCAAGACTAGCAATTCCAAAAGGTAGAACATTAAATACAAAATATCTGGTTGTCCCTTCAAAATGCAACTAAAACCTAAATACTTTCTGTGGTCCGGAAATATTTCTATATGATGATAGACGCTTTTTAAATCAAAACTAAACAGATAATTTCCTTTATTAAATAATTGCTTTGCAACTGACCCATCCTCAAACTTAAATTCAAACTGATATATGCACTCATTGATGTGTCTGCATCAAGAACCATTCTAGGATTTGCTGATCTGTTAAAAGCTACCGTTAGTGGATTTACTACATACGGTACTTCTTGTACTTTTGAAATACGCTTTTTTTCTAATAATTTTGAAATTTCAGTATGTGCAAAAACTGAATTATCTAAAGAAGATTTATTATTTCTGAGGATACTGCTATCTGGAAGAGTTTTGAATGGTATACCATAACCTTCCTTGGTAACTTTTAAAATGTACTCACTTGTACCAGATTCTTTCCATTTGTGTACTTCTTTATTTAATGTACGTACTGGTGTCAACACTTTAACCTGTAAATTTAAATGACTAGACGTCTGACCAATACCCTCGTCATACCCGACTGAACAGTTAACACAATTGACCGTTGATTCGTTTATTTATCTCTTTGTAAACATAATTCATTAAATGACTTGCCCCTTGTAGCTTAAATCCCAAGCTGAATGACAACAGTTTTCAAATATTTTACTTAACTTTGGTCGTTTCTTTTCAGGACACTCATTCTGTCAATGACCAGGCTTGTAACAATTGTAACAAACACCCGGCTTCTTTGATACCGTCTGTCTATCTCTGCTTCTACTAGACATTTGCGGAAACTAGCTCTATACCTAGGATTACTCTTAGACTTACGATTACAGTTGAAGAAAAACAAGGGGTAATCTCAAAATGAATTAAAAAAAAAATGAAAAATATTGTAAAACCAACCGATTTTTTTGTGTGATGTAAACAAGTCATTCTGACGACACACTGATGCAGCGCATATAATCACAACATATTTGAATCGCTGTCTTGGATGTCGCAACAAAGTCCTACATACATGTAACTTTGTATTTTTTTTAATTCTCCGATGGTGTGTTCAACCTCTACTCTGTAGTATGTAATAAGTCTGATTAATTTTAAACACTTCCTCTACATATTTTAGGTTTTCAAACAATATGTTGTCTTGTATAAGGTGTCAATACTAGATGTCTGTTAATATATACCAGCGGAGAACCATACACTTTCCCGGAGAAACAGAGTACTTCTTTTTATGTTATGATTTAAATATGTGTCTTGTCTTATTTTAGAATAGCAAAATCAGCAAAAATATTGTACAGAGGATACTCTACAAACGATGACCTTGAAAATCACGAGAAAATACAAGAAGCAAGTTACATAGTATAATTATCAAACCCTTCGCAGCGCAGTGCATTTGAAATATTAATTTTGGATGTGGTTTTTTCTTTTACACGATTACAATTTTGTATCCGCAACTGTGCCCTAGCCGAGTTGAATAGTTTGTAATTATTTTTAACAATTTCTTCTCGCCTGATACACCTTTGTATCTGTTATCTCTTTTAATCAACATCATAGTTTTGCGTTTTAACTTTGTTTTGAAATGGACACCGTCAAAAGTATACTCTATATTACAATTTCAGTACCGGTCTCGGTTTAGGGTTAATGTTTCGAGCATACCGGAGTCACCCATGTTCATGGGAGAGAATTACCGTCACCGTGAAAAAAGTCCATACTCAAATTATTCCCACGATTTCTATAAGAATTGCATAGAAAAAAACAACTTAGAACTCGGTTGTCACTTTTATACCTCACCTACGATAGTAGAGGGGCATTATGTTTTTCGGTCTGTGCGTCCGTCCATTCGTTCGTCTGTCCGTTCGTCCGTCCGTCTGTCCCGCTTTAGGTTAAAGTTTTCGGTAAGGTAGTTTTTGATGAAGTTGAATTCCAATAAACTTGAAACTTAGTACACATGTTCCCTATGATATGATCTTTCTAATTTTAATGCCGAATTAGAGTTTTCACCCCAATTTGACGGTCCACTGAACACAGAAAATGGTAGTGCGAGTGGGGCATCCGTGTACTATGGACACATTCTGGTTTTATTTGAAAAGATAAATAGTAAAATTCCAACTATTTGAGTACTCATATTCTTACATTTCAACAGAGTCTGACGAATAATTTAATTTATAGTTTCGACATAAAGATGTCCATTGATAATTGTGTTGTTTTTTGTTTTTTGTTTTTTTGTACAGTTGTGATTTTTTTCTATTGATGCCAAAATCAGAAAAAAATAAAAGACAATAAAAGTATACCTGACGACAATGGAAATGCCATGAAGAACGAATAGTTCTTAAACACCCGCCGCCCGCTGTATTCCCTCATTCTCTTAACAAAATGGAAAATTAATGCCTTATCATTAACATTAAATATTGCCAACATGCTCCTTAGTTGATCGCACCTTTTTTTAAACTAAGACTTGCTGATTTTATATTTTGTAATCGTTACAACCTAGCTACTGCAACGACAATTGCGATATTTTTGTATGTCTCATGTAAAATTTATTAAATGATGTTTGTCTATTCTATCATAGTCCGTACATTTACAGCATGTTCAGCCTAGTTAACACCATGTACAATAATTAATGTGTACACATTATTACAAATATTTCCTGAAAACCCAGTTGTTCAACTATAGAAAAACATTATAGGAGTTATATTTTGTTTTGAATCGACGGTTTATATTTACACTTTGAGACGACCCAAGATTTAAATTCTACCTGTAAGTGTATTTGTAATAATAATCGTAGTTGTGTGACAGTTTCCGCAAATGTCTCCTGGAACTCGATGGCTTTACATAAAGGTCAGCGCGGGATCTCCTCTTTACCCTATCTGCTTTGATCTTCCTTTCAGCTCGATTTTGTGCCCGAAATATCTTTCTGTCGTCCTCGGAATCATCCGCTAGAGGATTTGCGGTATATTCCTGCACCAATTTCCACCCACATTCGGAGGAACCTGCCATTTTTACTAATTTTTGCCGATAATTCAATAGTTCAATACCCTCTGATATCGTCTGTTTTTCCCTCGCGGAAGATGGATCTTTTGGCTCTATAACAGCTTCTGCTTCTTTCAAAGTAACTCTCACTTTATGATTAAACTTGTATTGATCTTCACAACTTTTCCTCTGGAATTTATAGCTGTCTGCCGTTAAAAGATCATTATGAATTCTGTTGAACTGTGCATCTGAACGTTCTTTCTGTTGCTGATCATACACTTGAAATTTAGAAGTTAATAAATTGTCCAACTTTGATAAAAAATCGTTCTGCGATCTATTTACTTCTTCGCTAACGATACGCTTAACATTATTTTCCATGTCATCCATAGCGTGAACGGCACTCACAAAAATACGATGTTCACAGTACGAAGTTCAGTACTGACCAATAATGATACTGAGAGTAAATGGGTATCAATCAACATTCAAGAATAAATATTTCAATGGAAACAACTGATAGATATATTTTAAATACATATTGATTATAACCACAAATATCAAAATTGTAATCTTTAAATTTGTAAGCCTGTTGATGATACAAAGGCCGATGATTACCACAATGTGAGCGGTACACTAATCTGCAAATACTGTTTATCCCATTAATTTTATTCCATTGCAGATTCAGTTATTTAGTTTATTCGTTCGATTTATCAAATATGTTTATTACATATACTTTGTTGCAGACATTTGCAGAACAGAAAACTAATCATTACAGTGGTAAGTGTACTTAAACGGAAATAGCAGGAACAATAAATGTATAAAGGTATATTCCTAAAGTATTTGTTTCACTTAAAGAGTAATTTTTAGAACATGTTTGAAACCTAGAGGAATTGGTATATCTGAGTTTATAACATATTCTTACAAGATTTTCTAACATTTTTCCAGTATTCATCAAATCTAAATCGATATTCATTGCAATTTTTATAGAACATTGAATATTTTACGTGTTTTGTTAAGTGATGATAAGTGTAAAATCCAAAAGTAGTATGTAAAAATGTACTGATTTTTTTTAATACTTCATTAAACATAGTGCATATATTTTAGGGCTTGACAAAAAGGCCGAACCATACTTACAGTTTGGATTTCCAAGTTCAGTGCTTTCACAGGTATTTGTATAAAGGCGACAGTAGTTTTCCGATGTTAAAATCTCGTAAATCTATTAGGAAAAAACAAATCAATGTTACAAACAAAACACCGAGAAAACTCCATAAGTAGCGAGTTCGGATGTGTCTGTGTTTAAAGCAAATATGTGGAGTATGCATCAACGAGACAGCAACCCACCGATATAAAGAATTACATATATGGGTCTATTCTTATAATACATACAATATTTACAATGCATATTAATTCAAGAAATTATTCACAGCAAATCTACTGTAGATTTTGTACAATACGTTTTTTTTTCGATGAAAGAAATGAAGAAATGCCCGAATAACAATTTCTAAAAATGTAAAAAAAAATAAGATTTTGAAGGCGGAGTAAGAACAATCTATGTCAAGGAAAGCCCGAAAACAACTTGACAGAAAGAAAAAAAAATATGAAAAGATCTGAAACTGTGTACTAGTCACTCCACACATCTCTAAAGATTAAGTAACACGAATCCCAACAAGATCCCGAAAATGAAATAAGGTGTAGTATTAAGGATGCGCAGTTCTTGTTCTACTAGTGAGTACCGTCGTGTGGCTCTTGACAAATAAGAATCCGGTGATAGGTCGCATTCGTTGATGTTGTAAAATAGAAAAAGGATGCATTGTGGCTAGATGGGACATACTCGTGTTTTTGTGTGACACAGATGTTTTATAACTTTCATCCAAATCATGATGGCGACCGAACATTTTTTGAAGATCGTAACGCATATAGATTAGTTATCGTTTAAGTAATTGAAACGCATGAAACCCCGGGACGCATGATGGGTGTTTCTAGAATAATATTATTATTGTACGCTCGTGCCAAAACACAAATGTTTGATACTATTAAATCGAGAGTATAACAGAACATTAAAATCCATTTACTACCATTCCCATTTTATGAGCAAAACATGAGGTTTTCACGATTTAAAACAACAAACATAAACTATATGAATAGGAATATGACAGTTGTTGTCCATTCGTGTGATGTGTTTTGTCATTTGATTTTGCCATGTGATTAGGGACTTTCCGATTGAATTTTCCTCGGAGTTCAGTATTTTTGTGATTTTACTTTTTTCTATAACCCATGTGAATTATGACCAACATGGATGTTTCACAAATTTTTATAAAATTTTGTAGCAAATCATTTTTAGTGATTTAAACGATTTATAAGGAGTAAGTTCTGTTAAGTTTAATGGAATGGAATATCAATCTCTGTACACCTATTTCTGCATCAGATTTTATTTATCGAACGTATTTTTTTATAACCATTTCATCGATTGTATTGTGATATAGTTTACTATTATTGACAAATGAAGATAAACTGTTCATTATGGTAATTTGATGCAAAACTTTAAAAAACTAATCATAATGTTAGTTTTATACAAAGCTTTACTATATTCCTTAACGTTAACATTTAAATTTTTTGTCGAAAACTTGTACTTTTGTAAACAGCATTTTTTTAAAAAGAAAATAACAACATGGTTAATCAATTTAGTATGATCTACATGATAAGAAGTTCTACCGACCAGTTCAGTCATTTACACGTTGTTCTACTAACACATATTTTGCTCGCAAGGCGGTAATAGTAGTATGGTTAACTTAACCTAAAAGAGATGCATCCTTAAAAACAGTTTTAGTACAATTACCTAATTTCTAAACCGATAAAAATCAACTTAGCTTTACCAGTACCACAGCCATGGCGTTGTCAGTTTATTTTCGACTTATGAGTTTGAATGTCCCTTTGGTATCTTTCGCCTCTCTTGAATACCAATTTCAGCGTCCGCGACGACAAAGGTATCGGACCACCATTTTCACCTGTTATTTCAGTGAACTTGGTGTGTTCATGTACTAGTATCAGCAAAATATCATTGCTGTATATAGTGGGATAATGATAATGTGTGAGGTTACATTAGAACTCATGATGTTAGAATTTCATAGATGAAAAAGAGTCTGAAATATTAGCCGTTGATAAGCTTAGAAAAAATAAAAAAAAGGACTAAGAAAATAAAAATGACACTGAAAAACCAGAGTGATGATAATGTACAGTATTATAACGAAAGTATTATTCATATTTTCATTTGTAACACTCCGCTATAAACAAGTGAGACTAAATAGTATACCTGTTCATAACCAATGACTTTAACATCTTTCAACATTTTTAAAAAATATTCTCCATGTCTCGATTTCTCTCGTATAAGTAATTGTTATTCTTTAAAAAAATCGCTAAAACAGAAAACAATTAACATTTAAAGGACTCTTTCTATCATTTAATTCCCATTTTTGGTTGTTAAAATGTTTCATTTTATTTAATTGAAAATTGATTTTAGCAATGATTTCCTAAATAACTAATTATTAAGTTTAATATTGAAAGGGAGAAGAAATGGAGATATTGATTAAAGGGAAAGAAGGAAACTCTCGTCGCTACAAGCTACAACCAATATCGGAACATAGAGACGATAAAGATGCGTTTGTAATGAAGACATCTGAAGATGATAAAGTAATTATTGAAGGTTTTACCATTGATGATCCTGATGAGGCATTCTCGGAAACAAGGAGTAGACAATCCTCTTCTGCATCACTTTTCAGTAGCAGTACAGCTAGTGCTGCTATAGAGACAACAGTTGATAATTGTAGAGTTACTGTCAATACATTTGAATCAAAAGATGAGGTTTGTATGATTGTAATTGTCACATGTGTAAAAAGGAAATAACAAAAAACGTGACTTGCACGTGGAGTTTTAAAGAACTGGATGTTGTAGACCTTATTATTTGGAAGCTGTTTGTATGTTACGGCAAACAGGAAATAGTTAAAGAAACAATCAATGCTTTCATATCTTTACTGTCATTTTTATCAAAAACTCCCTTTGGGATAGGTGAAATATTTTACATTAACCAGCATCCAAAAGCATCACGACTGTGGTAAAGTTGAGACTAACATAAAACTTAGTAAATTGTTTATCAATGTAATGTAGCCAATCCCCTTTTCCTCGATTTTGGCATCACCAAATGAGACTTATAATAGAATTTGTACTTACCATAAGCAACAAGAAAGTTGTCATATTTGAAACACGATCTGGTTACTATTCCAGAGCAGGATCTGCTTACCAATCAAGAGCACCTTATATTACACTCGTTTTTATAAGGGTTCCTGATGCTTTGCCCAGTCTTTTGTTTTTGATGCAGTTTTTTGTTGACTGTTGTTAGTCCTTTGTCGTTTTGCACGTTATGCCATGGTGTTGTTGGCTTTTCGGCTAATTAAAGACACAACAATTCTAGTTGGATTCTAATAAACTTGATACCAATAGAAGCAGACTGTTCATATGTTCATTTGTTTATTGAAAAACTAAATTTAATTGGCTGCAAGACGATTTGCCTCATTCCGTTGTATGTTTTTTCCAATGTAAGTAAAAGCAACCGAGGAATAGAATTATAAAGTCCGCCTACCTAATAAACCAAAGCTATACTCCTCAATATGCAAATTTCACCTTCTAGTATGTGACGTACAATTGATTTCACGTTTGATGTTACTGTTTTAATTTCTTTACACATGTTTGGTGTTTTATGTTTTACTTTCCAATTCTTAATGTTCATAACATATATATGTATATATTTTATTTCAAAGATCTGTAATTATAAGAGTTGTATGATGTTTATTCAAAATGAAAGCCAGTAGCAACCACACTTTTAGCAAGAAGCGATTTCTTTTCGAATAATAAAAATTAAAAAATTATAAACAGCATTCAATTATATATTAAATGCATCATTCTATGGGTAATCATATTGTTAGAAAAATAAATATTATGTTTACTAGTAAGTAAGTTGAAACATAATTGAATTTACAGGAAAGCGAAATACCATTTCCAGAAAAACACATCAGTATGTCAGCAAGAGGTAAATATTAAGTTATATTTAACGACTCATAAAATAAATGTGTGTTGAATTACATTTTGATAAAAGTAATTCACATACTATTAAAGCGCAAAGTAATCGCGTAGCAGATCGTATTCCTCTATTACGGGAGATCGTCGATGTAGGTTTGATCTTCGATTGGGTCAAACTAAAGTCTTTTACCATCACGAGTTGGTTGACCGTTATGGAATATCCGTTTCACAGATGATAGCGGATATGTTCCTAATCTCGTAACTACAATCCCGTCCCCCTTTTCCCGAATGTGACCTACTGAATTCGACTTATTACCCTGTTTGTACTGACATGAGCAACGCGACGGGTGCCAAATATAGAGCGGGATCTGCTTACCCTTCCGGAGCACCTGAAATCACACCTAGTTTTTGGTGGGGTTCGTGTTGCTCAGTCTTTAGTTTTCTATGTTGTGTTTTGTGTACTATTGTTTGTCTGTTGGTCCTTTTCTTTTTTAGCCATGGCGTTGTCAGTTTATTTTCGACTTATGAGTTTGAATGTCCCTATGGTATCTTTCGCCTCTCTTTTAAAATTAGTATTCGTTACTTTAACAATTAGCACGTTTAGAAGTAAGACTAGTCGGCTCGTAATTAGAAAAACGTGTCCGGGTGGGGACCTCGTTTTCCTGTGAATTGTAGCCTACTGAAATATCGAGTCAATAATCCGATAATCCGTCAAAAATTGTTATAAATAAAAAAAGAAAAAAAATTACGAAACCTGTGACTTTTTGATCTATTTTGAACAAATCATATACCCACAAATTTCGGAATTCAAACTGGCGACTAATTTTAGTTACAGACCGCGATCACCCCGAAGTATATGACAACGACAAAGTAACGTTGTCGTTTCTTTTAGAAAATGTAAGCTGTATTGTCTGAAGAAAATAATAGGTAAAATATAAATTTTCGAAAAAATACATTTTAAGCATACAACCAATAAATCAGACAAACAAATCAGAAAAGGTAAATAAAAAAACAAACACAGATATAAATAAATGCAACAGTAGAATACCGCTGTTCAAATTCATAAATCGATTGAGAGAAAACAAATCCGGGTTACAAACTAAAACCGAGGGAAACACATTAACTATAAGAGGAAAACAATAACTGTGTTTTCAAAGTTTAAACTGTTTTTGAGTTATGACTTCAAAATGACGTTGCAATCGATATAGTCATTAGATGTCAATTAGGTGTTTAAAAACTTTTTCTATAAAACGGTGTTAATTTTTCCATGTTATCATTGACCTTTTTAAACACGTTCCTTAATTTTTCATTCACAAAACGAATTTTTTATATGTTTTATTATTAAAAATTTGTATTAATTACATTGGACAAATAATGTATATATATTTTTTATATCATTTTTTTTATTCTGAAATACTGTAGCCACCTGTTATCCAACAAAATGTTTCGTTCAAAGCAATGTAATTGTATAGTTCTTGATATTGTTTATCTAATTTCATCTGTTCAATGGAAAAGTTTTTCATTAGATCTGCATGTGCTTTCACTTCAGATATTTCTTCATCAGCAGCTTCACCAACCATTCATAGATATTCGGCGGAATCGAATCCTAATATTGTGCAGGTATGATCTCATTTAAAACATAAATTTATTTAACTATTGAGTGCCCATTTATTTGTTTAACCTCTCTCTCTCTCTCTCTCTCTCTCTCTCTCTCTCTCTGTAAAACCATTGAAAATTTTACAAATTTCACTGAAAAGGTTTTCTGCTAAGAACGTTATATTTATTAGTAAGAGCAAAAAATGTTCGGCTCGGAGTCGGTGTCCGAGTATGAAGGCACCTCTTTCTGCAGACGGTTACCTTGTGAACCAGCACGTTAAAAATACGACTTAAGGTGGAGGTCTTACAGGGTTCATAATGATATCAATACAATATTTACAACTCAACGTTAAACACCAATCCATCCATCCATTTATCCATCAAAATACAAACTTATACGTTACTTAAATGTTTTTTCAGCTGGATATGAAAAAAAAACCCATACTTCTTTTTGTCATATGATCGATTATCTTTAAGAACAGTAACAAGGTTTCGGCTTGTCTTTAAAATTAAAGTGTAGTTGATAAAACATTCGTTTACCATATGCTTTGTTATCAAACGAGATGCAGACATTCATTTTTTTCTGTTGATGGAACATGAGTATTGTGTATTAGTGTAGATCAGCCGTATACTCACATGGTACCCGAATTTTAAATGCCAATACGGAGAAACTGGTACCATTAAAAATGTAGGTATCTCTACAACAAGACACCAGACTCCGTTACTTTCATATTTAAGAGAGAAATAAAGAATACTTGCATCCTCTATATTGCAGTATAATCTAGTAGGTAACCTCGCAGTGAGGACAATTCCCTATAAGAAACAATTACCTAACCTTATTGTCTACAATACTTTTAATGGACAATATCGATATTGGTCATCAATCATGCTGATTAATTATTCCACATTTAATAGAATGAATTCAGTCAAGCGTACTCGATGAATGACCCCACCTATTTCGATTTTGAAGCATATAAGAAATCGGTGAGTAGTAAACAAATGTATCGTTGTTGCTTTTTGTAGACTGCCACATTGTTAAAGCATTAGGATAGCAACGGGGGGAAGACTAAAGACATATTTCTACAGCTTTCCAAATTTGATGGATGTTTTAATATTACATATTTGTTTCTTTTTTATAACAAGAATTATGAACGATTCGTAATGAAATGAGAAAGGCTAGATAATTTACATAGCTTAAATGAAGTGAAATTAAAAAAAAATCATTGATAATTTACTCGTAAAAGATAACAGAATTCAAAGAAAGAACCCGTGCTAAACAGTTTATTTCTAATGTATATCTTGGAAGTTAAAATAGTCACAAAAATTTTAAAACTCATTCACCTAGTTTCATGTTCATAATGTTTTACTGATTTACATTAGACTATTAATGTTATGCGAAGGTCTCCAATTTATTTTTCCATTTCAAAAATAGTTCAAACCGATTAAGAACATAAATGAAAAAAAAAAATGTTAATGAAATCGCTGATGCAAAACTATATCATTACTAAATTTGAAAAAAAAAAATATTATTAAAAAAAAAATTTTTGGGGCTGCCAATTGAAAAAAAAAGCAACAACAAAAAACCATAACTGACTGTTTCGAATTTTATCCTTTTTGCTATGGACGATGGTATTCAAACACTTTTAAATGCATTTATTTTAACATTTTCAATTCTTAAAATTTTGTTTGATCTTTCTTACAACTGTACACGAAAAGTTTCAAAATAATATCTTTGCTTTTAGCTTTTCTTTTTTGTATTTTCATGACACATTAAAGTATGTTCCGACACTTTTATGATAACTATTTCGGACAAGAAAAAGAAAAAAATACCATTTTCCTATGTACGGACATTTAAAGCAATATGTACGAACACAAATGAAGCAATCGGGAAATGCATAAATGTAACTCGGAATGGAGTAAATAATTATTAGAAATTTTAAAACACCATATCGATATTCCAAATAGTAATTCCTCGTCATATCTTATATCAGTGTGTACAAATGTGTTCAATAATGTCGTTTACTAATGAACGGACAAACAAGAGATCACGAGCGATATTGGCTCTAAAGGTTAACAGATTTCCGGGGGATTATTTAAAAAATTAAAAAATTTCTATAGGAAATCAGTTCTTTACTGCTTACCACAAAGCAAAAAACTATTGCTTCCGGTTTGTTGGCATTATTTCTACCCAACAGCAATCAATATTTACTGAATTTGCTCTGGTTCTTACCTCAGTGCGAATCGAGACGATTTTGATTCATACTGTATTACGATAACGACAACGAACAGGAATCATTTGTTTATCAATTTGCACTTTACAGGACTAACGTTAGTTGCATATACTTATCATCCAGTGCGTTTATACATTTTTTATTCGAGCGTCACTGATGAGTCTTTTGTAGACGAAACGCGCGTCTGGCGTACAAATTTAAACCTGGTATTTATGATAAGTTTATTTATAGCTGATTCCGTCATTATTTTTTTTTAACTTGAATCGTATCTTCGTATCTGCTGTTTCCTTTAATATATAAAACCAAAGACATTAAACAATCATAGTTATTGTTTAATATCGTCAACTAAAACGTTATTCGGCCAAGTACCAAAAAAAAAAGCTGCAAGGGTCAAAATATATATAAAATTTGAAATGAAAACAATTCCAATAGTAGTAGACACTGCTTATACATGTAGCAGAAAAGGATGTTCAAAACAACAATTTAAGCTGTTTGTATAAAAAAAAATCAGTAGTTAACTGGTTTGTTTTATATGAATTATCATCATCGAATTATGACTATTGACCAGCGGTATACTACAGTTATAGAAAATCAAAGTATATGCACAGCAAAAAAACACAAAAAAGCAAAGGAACAGCGCTTTAATTGCTGTTCTTCATCTCAAAGTCACAGTGAGGCCTTCAACACGGAGCAAAAAAATTCTCACCTTACTGCAAGTTTAAGACGGTTCCTACTGTTGCCTTTATTTGTTAAGTTATTTACTTCAACTTCAAACACTAGACTCAATTTTTTTTTCGGAAGAAGTGCCATTGCAAAAAAAAAATCAGTTTGGCTTCCTAACTAAGCTATTTAACAGTTAACTGCATGCGTGTTTTATATTCTTGTTGACATATTAAGGAGATCACCTGGAGCAAAATGATGCTTGATAAAATAAACAAAAATGTACCGAATTATTTTAAGACTTCATTGTCCAGCGTATAATGGGCAAAAATCGGAATGATTCATATGTATAACATGCACTGATTTTAAACGACATAGAAGACTAAATGTACACATTGCTTGCAATTTGTCTTATTTATAACATTGAAACGTATACTTTTAAAGTTATTTGTACTCCTGCTTTTAGACGATACCGCCGTATTAACTAATCAGTAATGGGTTTACAGACTTCTTTTGAGAATGTTAAGAACCATGGTTAAAATGTAAATAAAATAAAAACTTTATAAATTTTGTGCGTCCAATGTACTTCTAAGAACGCTCAAACCTAAACAGTCGAAAGCCAGGGATGTGTAAATACACTGCAACGTTATGAGCTACATGACAAAAAGGACATGAACAGAATAGCCATAGTATAGTGTACTTCACATGTCCTAAATGTCAATGTGCACATACCTCGAAGTTCAAGTATTTAAAAAAAAAATAAAAACAATCGTAAATAAAATGGAAATTTATATTTAAGTTAATAGCAATTGCTATTTCCTATCATTCCTATGCATAACTATAATGAATGAAAGCCGTTGGCTGAATCATTTTTACACTGTACTAAACCAGCCACTTGAATAACATTTTAGTTATAATTAGAGGCGTCAGTACAAGCGACATAAGTTTTACTTTACTAAAGTATCATACATAAACATATACTATACTTACAATGGGTGACGGAAAACACAATTTACACTTGAGTACCATAAATATTGGAGTTTTCAACATAAAAAACTCAAATATTAAACATGTGGAGAATTTTTGTTACTAGGAATGCAATTTTAAGAACTCGAAATTAAAAAAATTGCAAAATGCAATTGTAAGAAAATGTTACTGTGACTTGACTATAGGTGTTGCTGTTTACCTTTACCTATTGTTCAACCAGATTGTAAAAATGACAATACAATTGGGACATTTAAACTGTTAAGAGTTGACATTGGGTCAAAATTAAGATTAATCATCTATATTTGGGGCTTAAAACAATGAAAACCAATAATATTTTCTTCCTTGTCAATTTTATAATAGAATAACCCTAGGTGAAGAAAAACTTCAGGAAAAAAGCATACTGTAAGGTTTGGTTATGTGAATAAAAATCAGTACAGGTAGCATCAAGGTAGACTCAACTCTAACAATACCAGCTGGTCAATTTAAATGTCCCAATTGTATTGTCAATTTTACAATCTGGTTGAACAATAGGTAAAGGTAAACAGCAACACCCATAGTCAAGTCACAGTATCAAAGCTATGTATGATGCAATTTCAAGAGTACAAATTTAGAATAACCGTTCTGTTTTGTAAAACTATGCAGAATGCATTTTGAAATAAAAACTTCTTTAATAAATGTGGTTTTTCTAAAACTAGAGTTTTACATATACTACAATGGTAACCGGCTAGAACTTTGTTCTTATTTTATTATTCAAAATTAAGAACTATTATAAACGAAAATAACACTTTATAAATGTCATGCGCCAGAAGCGCTTTTCTAAATGTACCTTCATTAGGAACGCTCAAACAAAAGCATTTAAAAGCCAAGGATATCTAAATACATAAAAACTTGAAGAGGTAAGTGACAATAAAGGGACATAAAATGTCTAGTCAAATTCAACAAAGGTCTACTTTGTCTAAGGGCTACATTGATCTATGTCTTTAAAGAATAATTTCATTTTAAAATACATTTTCACATACTTGATATTAAGAACGTTTTCACCTTTTGAAAATTCAGAACTATCCACAAACTTCCATTAGAATGCTGTAGATGGTAAAAAATACGGATTAAGAATACAATTTTTTATTCGTGTAATCAAAAATCTAATCGGATAACACCATTGCAAAAAAACAAAAACGATTAGACAAACAACAATCATAAAAACACTACTCAGAATACTAAAAACCCGAACCACATCAAAAACAAGGGTGATCTCGAATGCTCCGGAAATGTAAGCAGTTCCTGTTCCACTAGTGTCATCCGACAAATTTGCATTTGAGACGAAAACCACTTTGGTTTGAAGTGCATTCCTTTTTTTTATAGTAGAGAGTGTATAAAGATCACAAATAAACAATTAATTTGAAGTTCACATGATCTCATTAATCTGACAACTCAGTCCAAACTACAAAAAGTTGTGAAAATTTATTATGATTATTATTGAAAATGTTACTTATCTCACTTAATCTACTTAACCACAACATTTGTACATTCTTGTTGTTGTAAGTGCATTGTTTGTCATTTTCGGCTGTTTCCTCAACATATATGACAATGTACCTGTGTACTAATTGCATATCATAATAATGATAATAAAAATAAAAATAATATGATAATACATTCTTTATATAAAGAGGGTAACTCAGTTAGAACTTGTCTAGTTTTCATTGAAACCCTTAAACAAATACATGCATACAGTACGCATCCAACATAAAACATGCATATATAAAATCGTCATCCATGAAAATAGTAACAATAATGATAATTTTCATATTGCAACCAAAAATGATAATATTATTATATTTTTTTGTCTCGCATAGTATTTCTGAAAAAATTATTGTAACAAAGTTTCTATAATAATTCTATATTGTGATTCTTTTTTACTGTAAATGATATAACATTGCATTCTACATAAGGAAATGACTGTTCCAAGTCAGGAATATGACAGTTGTTTTCCATTTGTTTGATGTGTTTGAGCTTTTGATATTGCCATTTGATAAAGGACTTTCAGTTTTGAATTTTCCTTGGAGTTCAGTATTTTTGCTATTTTACTTTTTCCTTGATTGCAGAAAGAATTTTTAAACAAAATGTATTTGGTATTGGTAAAATATATCGTTATTAGAGACAGGTCGTTAATTGTAGTGTTAAACAGTAGTATTGACAGGTGTTGATAAGTAGTCTGGTGATAGTTTATTTACAAATTTTATACATTATAATACATGTAGATTGTTTGTATTTTACTCTCCCTGTAATGAAGAAAACATCAAATTTAACGGAACAGAAATATCTCATTCAAGTATAATTCTTGCTGCTCTTTTCAGGAGTTTTTTTTCTATTTTATCAGAATCTTTTTGTAATGTAACACATTCTCCCAAATTGAACTCCCAATAGTCTATGTATGGTAAAACATAGGCATTATTAAAGAGTTGTCTTATATGTATAGTCAATTGTTCTTTAAGTTTATAAAAAAGAGATATCTTGATGAGATAATCTTACATATACGATCGACATATTCTTCCAAGCTTAAAGTTTCATCAATGTCAATTCCAAGCAATTTAAAAGAATGAACATTTTCAACACAGGTTTCGTTGATGATGATAAATAATTCTGATTGTGTTATTTTTTTATTCGATCTTAGTTTCATACACTGCATTAATTTTCATACTGATATTGTTACACCAGAATTTCACAACATTCAAATCATTTTACTAAGTGCTGTAAATTTCTTAAATTTTCTTATCATGAAAATACTATATTAAAGGCAGTTTTGCAGCAAAGAAAATACCAGGCATATCGATATATTAAATAATCATATGTCTAGGTTCTTCTATATACCATTGTTTCAACAACGGTATTTTTAGAATACTGCATATTAATAGTGTTATCAATCACATCTTTAAATATTACAGATTAAAATCAATTTTGTAGTTACTGTGTTGGTCCAGAGCAAATCTAAAGAAGTTCAAAAATATCATTTTGTTTTCTGACAGATTAATATCTTTAAGTGCTTGGATAATTTTATCAATCAGCTTTTTTATGTCAAAGGGATACGACTTTTGATTGTCAATTGTGTATCTCTATTATTTTGTTTGTCTTTTAATTGCTAAATATCTAATTTCAGAATCCATTGCAGACGGCAAACAAAATACCAGGTAAATTAATATTTAAACAAATCAGTGGCACATATGTGTTACCATGAACTGTTTTTTTTCTAGTAAAACAAATGCAGACATTTTTATGGCAAAACGACAAAACGATTAACCTTAAAATTTAGAACATCAGATCATATGGCTATTTTCCATGTCTGGATAATGCGATGCATATTAATGAACCTTAAAAACTTCACTTCCGTACGCGGGTTAACACGATGTTTTATTGATTTATTTAATATTTTTTTCTCTTCTTGAATATTCATGTTATATTTGCCACTTGACGTTAAAAAAAACCCACTATCAATAAATATTAGTTTAGCAAGAATCTACCATTATAGTGTTTATCACAATTGGCATATTTGTATATTGGCTTATCACATGAGTATGTTATGTTTTTTATTACTTTGCGTCGTCCCCGTTTTCTGTTGATACATGCATGTAGTACAAACAGGTTATGCTTAACTTTTATCCGAAAATATGAATTAGAAACCTGCAAGTCAGAGGAATTTTTGTGTTCGTACTATGTGTCTTCTTACGACAAAAAAACATGTAGTTTTGTATAGATTAGTTGCAATAATCATCGACATTGCTAACAATAGACTATTCAAACCCGTATCGACTACATCCAAAAATGAGGAAAAACGAAATTTTTTTAAGGTAGAATTCGCCAATAAAGGTTTAGATGCTGTAAATATTAGCAATATTTTCCAACAGAAATCTGTACAAAAAACTATACCTGATAACTTCAAAAATAAAGCTACACCTGTTATTTCTTATACTTACACCAAGTCTATTGCATCCAAGATTTTCAACCACAAGAGGGTTTTAGATGCCTTTAACCTCAAAGATGTGAAATCCAAGCCTCCAGATTGCTCGTGTGTATCGCCGCAATACAATTATAGTCCAGCTGGTCATGTTATTACTGGCGACCTTGGCATCGTTACCAAATGAACAACTAAGAGAGTTGTTAGCCAAGGGACCAAAATATAGAATTCCCCAGCCCATCAACTGGAAAAAGAACTTCAGGTTACTGATGGATGCAGTTGAGGACTATGCAAGAAAATGGGTAAAGCGCGAACCAGACGAACCAGAACTGGACACTTTGTCTGAATGGATCAAGGCTATTCGATCATGCATTCAGAAGCGCATTCAAAAACTACGATGTACTATGAGCACAAGAGTTACTAACCCTTTCAAGAATCCGGATGTTGTGGATGCTTTATCCTCTTTGCATGACAAATATGTCGTTGTTCCAGCAGATAAAGCCTCCAAAAATATTGTCTTCATATGTAAAAACCATTATTTGCAATGTCTCACAACAGAGCTTGGAATAAATAGAACTACTGGTAATCCTACATATTCTTTAACATCATTTACCAAGGACGAAATTTTACAAAATCACAAACCTGTCCTTCTTTCTTTTGGTATCAACATCAGAGAAAACGAAGAAAATTTACCATCATTATACTGGATACCAAAACTTCACAAAACTCCATATAAAGAACGATACATAGCTGGGTCATCAAAATGTTCGACTAAACGTCTTTCTAAAGTACTGACTACAATTCTTTCTACAGTTAAAGATGGGCTTCAAAAATATTGTGATGAGATATATTCTACCAGTGGTGTTAACCAGATGTGGATTCTCAAAAATTCGAAAGAACTACTGCTTAATCTTCGATCACAATCTTTGCAATTTTGCAGCAACATAAAGACTTTTGATTTTTCTACGCTTTACACTACTATTCCCCATGCTCAGTTGAAAGATCGACTTCACCATCTCATTAAACAGAGCTTTTTCTATAAAAATGGGAATCGTAGATACAAATTTCTTGTTTTGGGTTACAATAATTCATATTTTGTGAAGAACCACACTGAATCTACCAGAAAATATACTGAAGATGATATCAGAATGCTGGACTTTTTGATCGACAATATATTTGTTGAGTTTGGAGGATTTATATTTCAACAGACAGTCGGTATTCCAATGGGTACTAATTGTGCACCCCTACTGGCCGATTTGTTTTTGTACTCGTATGAAGCAGAATTCATTCAGAACCTTCTAAAAGACAAAAAGAAAAAGCACCTTGCGAAATTCTTTAATTTTTCTTTCCGATATATTGATGATGTCCTATCATTGAATAACCCATATTTCAGTCAATACTTACATCTCATATATCCCAGTGAACGTGAAATTAAGGATACTACTGATACTTGAAGGACTGCTTCATACCTTGATCTTTTCCTCAATATTGACACAGATGGACGACTTCACACGAAAATCTATGATAAACGGGACGATTTCAACTTCCCAATTATCAATTTCCCATTTCTCAGCAGTAACATACCCTCTGCCCCTTCGTATGGTGTTTACATATCTCAGTTGATACGCTTTGCTCGTGCATGTTCACACTATACGGACTTCATATACAGGAGTGTGCTCCTAACGCAGAAACTGCTCCAACAAAAATATGAGGAGGACAGATTAAAAATGACACTCCGTAAATTTTACGGACACCATCACTAATTGGTCGATCCATACGATGTGTCTTTGTCCAAACTAACTAAGGACATTTTTACCACGTGTTAGATTGTGGTTTGACATTACGTCGTCTGATCCTTTAATTACCGAACGTGACTTATTCCCGATTGTGACTGTTTTGCTGTGTGTGAATTCGCATTGCTATAAGACGTGTCACGGTACTTTTCTATCCAAAATTCATGTATTTAGTTTTGATGTCATATTTGTTATTCTCATCGGATTTTGTCAAATGTCTTATCGTTTGTAGATGTAAATCTTATTTTTTTCTGTTGTATTCGTGTGTTATGGTAAAGATAATTAATCACCCAGTTCATTAATTAAATTTTAGTTTGGGTCAGAAATTCAAATGTGACGTCACTTTTTTTTGTGAATTTTTATGTGCTGGTTTATGTTGTTTTATGTATCCGTTTTTATTCTGTAGTTAGTCACCACTTCGGTGTTATCATGTATATCTATTATATAGTCATTTTTATAAAGGAGTAGGCCCAGTAAGACCCCTTTTTGGCCACAAAATATAGCAGTTTTACAAAATTGTTAAAATGTAAATTTTTAGCTATTTATTGGAAAGAAGAATACTTCTGTTACATAAATATGTGCTGTTTTTGACAAAACAATGCACATGTATCGGGTACTAGCGTCATTAAGTCATGCTAAATTACTGAAATCTTCGAAATTTTCGCATTTTGGTTAATTTTTAGACGGTTTTCGTCTGAAATGGAAGTGGCCGCATTTGTGTTCATTCTTAATATTTAAATGTAAATTGTATTTGATGATAATACATAACATATATAAAGGTTGAGAATGAACACGGATGCGGCCACTTTCATTTTTGACAAAAACCATCTGAAAAGTGACATATTATGGCATATTTGATAGATTTTTCATATTTAAGCTTGAATTTGAGCGTCTTTAATGACTAAATCAGTTCAAATCTTTCACATAAACTAATTGAATCGACTGAAGTAGACACTTAAGTGTTTAAAAAGTGTCCAAAATCTTTCATCAGATGAACCTGAATTTTGAGGCCAAAATCGGCCCTTACCGGACCTACTCCTTTACTGTTTGCAATAGTATGAATTATTCTAAATACTAAGGATTTTCTTATCCCAGACATATAACCTTAGCCGTATTTGGCACAACTTTTTGGAACTTTTGGTCCTCAATGCTCTTCAACTTTGTACTTGTTTTGGCTTTCGTACCATTTCTGGTTCTGAGCGTCACTGGTTAGTCTTGTGTGGACGAAACGCGCGTCTTGCGTATTAAATTTTAAACCTGGTACCTTTTGTTAGCTATTATTCGTATGTGTCTCTGTCCTATATGTTCTCCCATTTATTTGTATAGTAGTCCTGTCATGTAATGTTGTCATTTTAATGTTATATTTAACATTGCCATAAAAACGGGAGGTTTGGTTAGCTACAAAACCAGGTTCAATCCACCATTTGTTTCTTAAAATGTCCTGTACCAAGTCAGGAAAATGGCCATTGTTATATTATAGTTCGTTTCTGTGTGTGTTACATTTTAATTGTGTGTTTCTGTTGTGTCGTAGCTCTCCTCTTATATTTGATGTGTTTCCCTCAATTTTAGGTTGTAACCCGGATTTGTTTTATTCTCAATCGATTTATGAATTTCGAACAGCGGTATACTACTGTTGCCTTTATTTAGACGTCTATGACCTATATAAGTTTAAAATATTTAACATAGTTGTATTTGTTTATTTTTAGGTAGTTTTTCTCAGTCCGTACCGAATATTGCAATAGCTTCAAGAATAGACACTTGTTACGAATGCCGAAACCAAAAACGTGGTGGCATATTTTCTTCTAAAAAGAAATTATCACGGTCATGCACTCTGGACGGTTTCTTTTATATCACAGATGGGAATGAAGTATCTTTAATGAAAGAAGTTCTCGATCAGAATGGAAAGGTAGGGAACAGTAATAACTACTTTAAGTCTGATTCTATGATGAGTTTATGTAAAACATACTACATATTACCAGATTTAAGCAGTAAGTAAATAAAACTTTTGGGACCACTTAATACTCTTAAATATTAGATCAAAGACTGGCAAATATTATTTTTTACCAATTAGTATAGGTACCTTGGTATAGATTTAACCCCACCACATGTTTATGTGCCTGTCATAATTAAGGAACCTTATAAGTCAGTGGTTGACTTTTGATAAATCTTAATGGTTTTCTTTTTTTTTTGTAATTTAAGGATGTTGGTTATACTGAAAAAATAAAAAAAAACTTTAATAAATTTCGTGTGTCGGAAGCGCTTTTCTGGATTAACCTTCATCAGGAACGCTTAATCCTGGGAGCTCCATCACCAAAATAAAAAAGCACCAAAACTGAATAGCCAAATTAAAACCTTGCCTGTGGGAGTTGGAACCTTAATTTCTCAATACACATGGATTTTTGTTTATATGCCTATGATGTTTGTTGATATCAAAGTTGCACAGCTGCTGAAACCGTTTGCTACGCGACGTTAGGTTTATATTGCCCGTTGTGTCCGTGTGTTCTTTTAATCTGCAATTTGTACAACACCTACTTAGTCAGTGATGTATTCCATTTAAGAGAGTCAATTGTAAATAATTGCATTGATCAAATAATTAGTGTACGAAGCTTGAGCATTGTGATAAAAAAAAACACACAAATAAGAAGACAAATTATGAACTCAACACATGCACAGAAACTAAAGATTTGATAGCACGAACCGCATTTCAAGGGTAGGTGAACTTAGGTGCTCATAAAGAATGAACAGTTTTACTGCACCAAAGTAACCACCAACAGATATATTCACATCGAATACTAGTAACTTTGGATTTTTGTGAAATTTTCAAGTGTTCTTTACAGATTTGAACTCTTTAAACATGATGTCTGGAAATGCGATTGCCTCTTTTGAATTTGACTTCGACTTAAATCTCATGAAGACATTTAAAATGATAAACAACGTCAGTACCTAAAATCTATACTTCAAGACCATCATGTATTACTTGTGAAGTTGATACGGAACATTTATCAACAAGATCTTGGTATCTTCCGATGAATTTTTGTTTTAGAAAAAGGACGAGACGTTCTTTGACATAACCCTGGTTCATCAACTTTCTGCTCAGACACTGGTGACGTTTCATAAAGTCTAGGTAGCAGCTGCAAGCTCTTCATTACCGAATGGGTTGGGAAATGTATATCCCATATGCAGGTGAAGTTGGTATATTGCTGCTAAGGTGGGGGAAATTTATAATTTCAAAATTAAAATCGTCTCGTTTGTCATAGATTCTGGTACTAAGATGATCGGTTATGTTAGATTCGAGGTATAAGTCTAAAAATGAGGCAAAGGAAGCTGTGTCTGTTCTTTGATTTCTAGTTCTGGAGGGTATATTAATGGAACCCAATCAGAAACGTTTGGATTGGTAATGGAAAGAACATCATCAATATTTGACAAGTGTCTGAAAGAACACCGACTCATATGAAAATAAGAAGAGGCCGAAAAGGAGAGGCGCACGGTTCGTTCCCATAGGAATTCCGACACCGATTTCAGTGTGAACGGCACTTGTTCTTGGAACAACTTTTACCAAAAAGCCTTGAAAGACAAAATTGTTGAAAGTGTATGATCATAACAATCAAATGGGCCTAACTGGTACAGCCCAAATCATCCAAGACAAACTTTGTCCTAGTTTTAGTAAAATTACATAATTTTCAAATTTGAAATGTACAATCAAACTGTAACATTCAAAGCATACCAATACCATTTCATGTGCTACTAATAAGCGGATGGCACCTTTGCAACGACACTGACTCATTGGTAATAATACAAATATATGATACTAATTGTATTGCGCACAATACTTGATTCTTCATCATTTCTGTCTAGACCAAAAGCCTATAACCTTAAAGAGAGAGGCAAAAGATACCAAAGGGACATTCAAACTCATAAGTCGAAAATGAACTGACAACGCTATGGCAAAAAAACAAAAAGACAAAAAGACAAAAAAACAGTATACAAAACACAACAAAGAAAACTAAAGACTGAACAATACCTAACCCGTTAATAAATGTAGATATGTGATAATGTTAATTCTGTATATTTCAGTTGGGTAACTGGTTTATCACTCCAACCGTTCACCAGCCGGGATATGCCCATTGTTTATACTTAAAAACTAAGCGAGAAGTAACTAGTTTCCCGATCGCAATCAACAAAAAGAAAAAGATGTTTTTAGATTTCAACCTGAAGAAGGTAAACGTTTTTGCATTATATTAAGTTGAATTTGAAAATGCAATATTAAAACGACGCGCTTGCTGTATGTATGCAAATATCTTCAACTACGTCATATACAATATGTATGCTGTAATTTGGAATAATGTAGACCAATGATTACATCTAATGAAGAAGAAGAAAAAAATGTAAATCGATTTGTTACAGTTTTATTATGTTCTTTCCATAAATGTTCATGTTCATCGTTAATTAACTTACTTTGTAATTCAGATGACGAAAATGTTTTAAACAGATGAATAGTGTATTAGATAGATTCAGATTACAAAGAGAAAATGGACATTAGTGAAACAAGAATAGAATACTTTCCTTTCTGATATAAAAGAAAATAGTTATTAATGCACATCATAAGTTTATAAGTGTTTAAAAAATAACAAAAGGCCGGCAATTTTAGTTTCTCTAGTGTTTTTTTCAAAAATAGAAATAACTGCTAGAAAGTTTTTGAATATAATTTATTCATATTTAAGCATTACAGAATATATATGTATTGGCGTTTATTCAAACAAGCTAATTCAAGAAAATCATTTATGAAAGCCTGAATTATAATTTAATAGTAATAAAACACTTTCCTAAAAAATGTCACTGGTTCGCTTCTAGGATTGACAATGTTATGTACACAATTCTGTTTTCCTCAATGGGGAGAATTTAGCGATCGTAATTAGACATAAAATTATAAGTCATCGAAATGATCATGTGCGCACTGTTGAATAGAGGTATTGTCATTTCCCTTGAATTTATTTAACTCACAAGGTCAAGTTAGAAAGAAAATTTTATGAAACCTAATGGAATATTAAGGAGTGTGAATAATCTACACAAATTACTTTGCAGCAGCTCTCATATAAGAATAAAATCAAAAATGTTAAGCTCAATTAATTTCAAAAGATATTGCATATTTTTCGTGGTTTTGTAATATTTTGTAACGAGAGACATCCTCAACGTAAATGTATTAATTTGCGTCTAAGAGCGAATGCATAGCCTTATTTGTGGTAAACGTTTTTTTAGCGTGCTGCACTGGGTTTTTATTTTTTTTATAAATACTCAGTATTTGCCAGAGATTGGTTAGAGATTAAGAATTGGGCTATATCTTCATAGATAGTCATAAAGATGTTACAAACTATAAGTGTTTTTGTCATACAGCTCTTCAACTGTTTCGGTTCTTTAACAATACTCGGATTTGAGCGTTCCTGGTGAAGGTTAATTTAGAAAGCGCTTCGGAGGTTTGAAATTTATAAAGTGTTGTTTTCATTTTTATATATTATGAAGCTTTGAGACTAAATTTTAGTAAAGACTTGGTGACTTTTGAAAATGGCCATGAAGTGAAATAAATTCAGGGGATATTGGAGCTACCAATTTATTCTGTATAAGTGCTGCTCAGTTTAAATGTTGGAAAATTATAAATTAGTGGCAGCAGCTGTAGCTTACTGATGTTCAAATCTTATAAATTCATAAGAAAGATACAAATCAAGTTAAAAGAAAACCAAAAACTGAGGGAATCACATAAACTTTGAAAGGAGCGAGAACGAGTGGGTCGACGGGATAAGCGTAAAACGCTCGACAGTAGAAAACCAAGATTAAACCAAAAAAGAACAACCAAATGATTAAATAAATTTGTCCATAGAGAAAAAAATTGTTGAAGAAATTGATATAATCCAAATATAACATGAAAATCAATTGGAAAAAAAGTAAAATCACAAAAATACTGAACTCCGAGGAAAATTCAAAACGGAAAGTCCCTAATCAAATGGCAAAATCAAATGATAAAACACATCAAACGAATGGACAACAACTGTCATATTCCTGACTTGGTACAGGCATTTTCAAATGTAGAAACATCTGCATCCTTAAATTGATTTTCACTGAAAAGAACCAGTACAAATGCAAGTACTGAAAACACATTTCCAATTCGGGCTTTTTGAAATAGTTTTTTTTAACTATAGGGTTAATGTACAAAAATGGATAAATGCATATGTAAAGCTGGTTTATCTTGATTGCAATTATAACTTTCCCAAGCAGACTGTCCTTTTATAAGTAGATTTTGATAGATAAAATCACGCCAGGGTTGAATACGGTAAAATTTTAAACGTATCGCACTATCTGTTGACTTATATTTAATATCTATGCATGCTATACATTTATCCGATTCGAAAAACAAAACTAACGGTAAGCAGTTATTTTATCGTGTGTCTTTCTATGTTGTGATGTTACACTATTGTTTCAGAAAAAGGGTGAAGGTTTGGTATCATTAAAACGTTTAAACCCGCTGCATTTGTTTGCACCTGTCCTAAGTCCGGAATCTGATGTTCAGTAGTTGTCGTTTGTTGATGTGGTTCATAAGTGTTTCTCGTTTCTCGTTTTTTATATAGATTAGACCGTTGGTTTTCCCGTTTGAATGGTTTTACACTAGTAATTTTTGGGGCCCTTTATAGCTTACTGTTCGGTGTGAGTCAAGGCTCCGTGTTGAAGACCGTACTTTGACCTATAATGGTTTACTTTTATAAATTTTGACTTGGATGGAGAGTTGTCTCATTGGCACTCATACCACATCTTCTTATATCTATTGACATCCGAAATATGACGCAAGGGTGTTCTTATTCCGATGATACTGGTGGAAATAACCAAGTATTTGATTGGTGGCATCAGCATACAATTACACATGATTTTTTTTAAAATATTTTTCCTGTCTATGAATAAATAACATAAATAAAATGTGGTACACACTGAATAACCCGCGTAGCGCGTTATTTAAAAGTGTGCACCACATTTTTGAGGTTATTTCGAAATAGACAGAAAAAAATATTACAGTCATTCCTTATCATTTAATTCTAAATTCCATTTTTAAGGAGTGAATCGTGAAAAACGTTGAAGACGTCACGGTCACGTGACAAAATTATTTCTATGAGCTGATAGACAAAAAACTTTCAGCCAATCGGAAGACGTGTTACATCCAAAATTAAATTATTTGATAATATTGCAGTGACGTCAGATTAGAAAGATATTCAATAATATACTGTCTTGGTGGTTTCATCGTAAAATGCTCGCTTTGAGAGTTGCGGGTTTTACCATTGGCCAGATCAAACACAAGAATCTCAAATACTGGTATTTTTTTTATCGCTTCTCCGCCATGAACACAGCATTGAAGGTTTCCAAAAATACTGGTCGGCTCTAAGTTGATTTTTATAATGATTTGTCCAGGTTGTGGGTGACATGTTGTCCAGCGTACTGTCTGTTATACTTTTTTAAAAGACCGGCTAAGGGTGTCAATCAAGTAAAAGATTACCCGCTGGACCATCAATCCATTCATTTAATGATCACCTTATCATCTGTATTTTAATATTTCAGAGTTTTCCATGTTTGTGCCAGTTAGTGGAGTTTTACAAATCAACACATTTACCATCAGTTAATATCAATCTTGGACAACCACTTCCAAGTAATGCTTTCCCGGATATGAACTTTGGCGCTGATAGCAGTGGAATTTTACTACAACAATACCATGGAGTGAAATTATAATCTTTGATTTATTTATTTATTAAAAAGTGCTGGACTTTTTTTGTGTCCTTTATACCAATCGTAAATATAGTTGACACTGTCACTACAAAAGTGTGTTTACACATGTATGTTTATTGAAACTTTTATTCTTAAAAGGTCTTAACTAGAATAAATGTCAATGTGATCGAATGTTTCTCAACATATTTGTATTTTAGTTTCATTACATTATTGTGTAACATGATCTGTCTCCTTTCAAGACCGTTTGTAGATATCAACGAAAATGTTAAGATAAGAAGACATGTTTCCAAGTCATTTTCTTTATCAACGGTTAACAGGACTCTCAGTACTACATTCAAGATGGAAGAACAGCTTAGCCTGTTTCTATCTAGTTAATTTTCTTCATATATAAACATTTACTTTCGGATATAAGTATTTAATGCTAGGAAGAGAAAATAAAATAACATGTAGATGCAAACTTAAACATGTGCATATACAACGATAATAATAATTAATCAATAAAAAAAATCATAACTTTGCGATCATCAGTGTATTTATTGCTTTTATTGGTATTCATATTTCAATATACTGTCTGAATTTTAAAAGATACAACCAGTGTTTTCTTTGACTGGCAAAATGTGTTCCTTATAAGCAATTTAAATCTTACGGAAGGAAAATTGATTTTATCGTACAATCTTTTTCCCCCACCTGAAATCCAATGGCATATAAATAAGAAGATGTGGTATGAGTGCCAATGAGACAACTCTCCATCCAAGTCAAAATGTATAAAAAGTTAACAATTATAAGTCAAAGTACGGCCTTCAACACAGAGTCTTGGCTCACACCGAACAGTAAGCTATAAAGGGCCCCAAAATAACAGGAAAACCAACGGTCTAATCTACATAAAAAACGAGAAACGAGAAACATTTATGAACCACACCAACAAACGATAACCACCGAAAAACAGGCTCCGGACTTAGAACAGGTGCATAAAAATACAGCAGTATGTTACATTCAAATAATACTAAGTAATATGTTTTATTGCTACGGCAATTATTACTAAACCCGGTTTTAACACCAACATTTCATTCAACTTGATTTCAATTTCCACTTTCGAATCCAAAAATTTTCTTTCAATTTCTTAAATTCATGTTGCAATGAAAAAACTCATCAAAGATACCGGCCTTATACCGGTAATTAGTTACGCCATGAGTGTTTTATTTACATACAACTCATCAGTATTCCTCGAATCGAAATACTTAGAAGGCCAAAATCAATAAAAGGTTTAGGAGCATTGAAACCAAACATTCCAAAACGTTTTGCAAAATCTGGCAAAGGACTTCTTTGTCTGGGAGTAGAAAAATCTCAGTGCTTTGAAAGATTTAAACGTTTTATTAACAATGAATTTAACATTTCATGTCAGCACAGGACCAATGACTACAGGATTGTGGTACGAAACGTCTGCCAACAGTGACATCGTTCAGTGGCCGTAAAAAAGGCTCATCATAGATACCAGGCAAATGATTTAAAACATCAGACGTGTGTTTTGTCTACATAAGACTCATTAGTGGCGCTCGATTCAAAATAGTTTGAAGGCCAAAATCAATACAAAGTTAAAGAGCACTGATAACGAAAAATTCCCAAAAAGACTATCTGTGCCTATGAGTACACTGCTACTTTTGCATAGGTACTATTTCTGTACTAAAAATCTGTAGTACTGGAAATTTACTTTTAATATTAAGTACTATTTCTTTACTTTAAAATTCTTGTAATATTTAGGTACCTGTATTTTACAGTACTTGATTTGTACTTGAAATTTTTGGTACAGAAGTAAAACCAACAGTGATAACAATATTCCATGTTTGAAAATCATAACTTTAAGAGATTTGAAATAGACAAACTTTCAAAATGTTGAAAATGTAACGGTGTAACCAAAATTTTGTAGTACTTAAATATCAAGTACTGTAAAATACAGGTACCTAAATATTACAATAATTTTAAAGTAACAAAATAGTACTGAATATTAAAAGTAGATTTCCAGTACTATAGATTTTTGGTACAGAAATAATACCTATGCAAAAGTAGCTGTGTAGAGACAAATTATTTTTTGAATGATTTTAACGTTTCATTACAAGCAAATTAAAACGCGCTAAATGTAAAAAAAAAAGAAAAAGAAAAAAGAAACCAGCATGACTAAAATAAAAGAAAAATACAAGTAAAAGTCAACAATGGTTGAACAAATATTAAGCTTGAGAAACATGAACTAGTGAACTCGGATACTCTAATGACATAATACATATCTGTTCGAATAGTTAGAGCCTTGTTATGAAAGAGGATTTGAGGACAGGATTTTAACTACGGAGAAAACATATTCAGGATCATACGGGACGCATGTATACGACAAGGGTCAATATAGTCGAAGTTGCGAGGTAAAGTTACATGTACGGTGGCGTCAGCTGAAATGTTGGTAACACTTCGATGAATAGCTACCTAGTAAGAAGCAACTCTATACCAAAGGAAATCCTGAGTGAAATGAAATGATCCCTGGTTGGTCAAATGATCTCAAAAACATAATCAGTATACAGGTGCTGGACAAATATTGCTAAATTTTAGTGAACAATGAAAAATTAAATCGATTTCTTTTTTATGTTGCTTATAATCGTCAGACTATAATTGTAACATTCGAAGCGCAAGTCATGCTACAAAACAGATATAGCTGTGTTATCCTTTATATTAAGTGAGAAATTGAAGAGAAAATACAAAACGGAAAACTAAAACCACAAGTCGATGAAAAGCAAACGACGCCTTGACCAAAAGAAAATTACAAACAGACAAAACACTACACTTTAAACTCACGATTGACAATCACAAATCTTACACAAAAATGTGAGGTGAATAAAAGTTTAGACAGTTCCAGCTCCACCAGTGGCAAGCGTCATGTTTGCACGTGACTTGTGAAAAAAATCTATGATAGTCGCCTTCGGTGTTGTCATAATCTCAGAAGAGAGGATTGGATTATGGATGTGACAAATGGGTCATATTCGTAGGACTTCATCTGTGACAGATACTTCGCAACAGTCAACCAAATCATAACGGCGTCTGTAAATTCAAGCAGCAGTATTTTAACGATGTTCAAATTTCATTAATAGATTAAGAAGACAAATCTAGGTAAAAAACAAAACGGAGGGCATCGCATGAACTCCAAAAATAGCGAGATTGGTTGCGTTTACAGGTATAGCGTTTCCTGCTATGTATGCATCACCCGCCATGCGAATCCACACTCAACATAACACAATAGGAAATAGGGCACAATCGGTAAATTTACAGATGTTAGACGACTATTCTGGTATCTAAAGAATGAAGACTGCAAAACATGTTGCCAGTGAGTTGAGACACAGACATATCGTGTGGGTCAATCAATTTGTAATGGTGACCGTAAAACTTATGTAGTGTCGATAAAAGTCGTTAGCGCAGTTTTTGTGTGAGAAGCACACCCTTGCTAATGCAGTCCGCATATTGTGAACATGCACGAGCGTTATCGTATCAATTAAGATATGCAAACACCATACGATCGGGCAGAAGGTTTGTTACTGCTGTGAAATGGGAAGTTGACGATCGAAAAGTTGAAATAGTCACGTTTATCATAGATTCTAGTTTGAAGTCGCCCATCTGTATCAATATCGAGGAAAAAATCAAGATATGAACCAGACCTTCTAGTTTCGGATGTATCCTTAATCTCAAGTTAACTGGAATATATGAGATGGAAGTACTCACTAAATGTGGGCTAATGAGAGACAAGACACTATGATATATCACCATACGACCTTCAATAATGAAGAAAAACCCATACCGTATGGATAAGCTGTAAATGACCCGACATGACAAAATGTAAAACAATTCAAACCAAATAAACGAACGACCTAATTTATGTAGAAAATAATAAACTAAAACAAATACGATAGAAAGCGGCCATGGTATTGACTACGACTGTAAGCCAGACCTTTATTAATGTGGTAAGTAGTATGTTATTGAGTAAAAACAGCCTTTTTCATAAACGCCCATCCTAGTAACTATGATTATATGGTAAAATATTCCCATCTGTCCTCATTTGAGATCTAATTACACCAAGGTAGACTTCAACAACATGGCTTGGTCAAGAAAAGGGAGAATCTTTGAATAAGAAAAATAAAAATGTTTGCGCAAAGATGGAATTATTGAGAAGAGGATATGTTCAATGATGTGTTCTAACTACAGAAATGGGATGTATAGATACCAAGCCCTTGTGTATATAAATACACGACAGCGTTCGATTGGGCCTTAGACTCGGAAAATCAGACTAAATTAAGAGGAACTGACATAATCTAGTTTAAATTTACATAATGGTTTTGCAGCCAAATAGAAAAATGCTATCTCTGGAAAAAAGATTATGTCCCCTCTATAAATAGCGGGTTGAAGATGAATATCATTTTGCTTTAAAATTTCAAATTTTAGAAAAATGTAGGCAAAAACTTTTTCAGGAAGTAGAGAGTATATAGTTACAACAAAATGTTTGATGAGGAAAAATTTACATATATGTTTACAATTAATGAGTATGACATAACTAAAATTATTGTTAAGGGGGTTAATGATTTATATGTACTAAGAATAGCCTATCTGACAATATTTGGATTTTACACCAATAAAATGATTTTATTTGATTTGATTGCCATAATTATCATTTAAGTGGGATGTTTTAAAAGTGCCTTTTCAGAGTCAGTACTTTGAACACGTCAAATTGACTAGAGTTGATGCTCACAGTTTGTTGCAAGTGTATAAGGAAATTGACAATTTCGTGCAATCTTGCTTGAAGTATGGTATTTTTGTCTGGTGTGATGAATGAGGAGTTAATAGGCCTATTTGACGAAGTAAGAGAAAACACATATTTACCTCCTTATATTGGTTGCTTCTTTCGATGAATGGTCATTAACTATAATATATTTTTTGTTTTGTTTTGACGGGGTGGCTATACGGACTCTTGTTGTTCAAAAACAAATGAGGTTATTTTGGTTTGTGTTAAATTTTTTTCCTTTGAATGGTTTATTGTTGTTTTTTTTCATTCGGAATCAATACTGACTGGGATATATCAATGTCATCTGCATGTGAGCTTGTAGTTTTAAGTTCGCTAGTTATTGGGGCTTCAACTGTGTGGCTTTGTTGTTGTGTAGCATACGTATCCACAAGAGTTTCATCAGCAGCATATGCGTTTTCATTTGCGTTATGTTTCATCTACATCAGATTGATATTTGGTATTAGAGAGTTCGTTTTCCATACAGTCACATTGTTTGTAACCTTCCTTACCGCAAGATTTACAAATCCAGTCATTATGGCAATTGCTAATATTGTGGCCGTCAGCTAAATATTTTGAGCACTTTTTTTGAACGCCTGTTTGCCCCCTTCATGGGAATAATGCCCCAAATAAGAGATTGGTTTACAGTGGTAAAGTATTGCATCCAAAATTTAGATTTTTAACATTGTAAATTGGGATAATACCCATGTACATGTATGAGGATCTTCCTTTATATGTTTAAGTGGTCATAATTATTTGGATTAACGTACCATATCCTTTCTTCCTGCTAACATTTTTCGTATTGTTTGCGACTCGAGTGTCCTATCGATAAAAATAAACGGATATTATAGAAATTGTGTTAAAAAATAATACGCACAACTTGTAATTCGGCTGCTACAGTCCTTACTCACCAATCCCCTTTTCTCCCGTGTCATAGATATAATAGACATACATCTATGCATGGCTATTATATCTATCGTTAAAATGACCATCCCTTTCTTTCTTCACATTCTTGTTCGCCCGGGGGAGTGAGAGTTTTACCGCGATCGACCCATTTCTTTTTTGGAGAATGTACGTCAAGTGTAAGTCCATCAAACGTCACATATTTCGTTTCGTTTCGTTTCGATTTCGTTTTTCAATTGTGTATACAAATCCTTGGTGTATTGAAAATATTAAAGATATGCAAAATAAAATCAGAATGACAATTCACATGTTTTTCATAAATGACTATTACAATGTATATATCAATACTAATAACAAAGCTTTATTTAAAGTCGGTATGGATTACAAAACAAAGACATAAATTAAATAACATAGCTCTATTGCAGGCACGTGATTGCAGCCGACAACTATGAAGTACGTTGTTGTTCAAGAAATTTGTTTTGGGTCCTAGTCACACCTTCAGTTTGGATCACATGATCAAGAAATGTCAGTTTCATTGCAATGACATGTAGAAGTTCCTAGGGACTGTGGCAGCCGAATTAACAGTTGTTCGTATTATTTTTTAACACAATTTCTATAATATCCGTTTGTTTTTATCGATAGGACACTCGAGTCGCAAACAATACGAAAAATGTTAGCAGGAAGAAAGGATATGGTTAATCCAAATAATTATGACCACTTAAACATGCAAAGGAAGATCCTCATACAGTACCATTTAAACGGATCGATTCAAGATCGTTGATTTCCGATTTCCGTGTTTTTTCGGAGTCACACCGCAGTACTCCCAATTTTCTCCAAAGATTCTCTCCCAACTCCGCGTGGCTGTTAGTGTTAATTGGTTTATTGCCCATCGGATGTCCTAAAAAACAAAGACGTGTGACAACATAATCGGATTAGCCAGATTATTTACCTATGTACATTTAATCGATCTTGATTGCACCTGGGTGCTTTAAAAACACGGTATTAAAAATATATATACGAAAAATATTAGAATGTGTACCCAGATGCTACATGTACAAGAAAAAAATATGTGAAAAAATAAGTGGACAGGATTTGAACGGTCTACACATTTTCACAGAGGATCTCTACCAATGCCCAACTTAACGACATGCATCGTGTTTTCATCTACAATAAATTTATATTGTTGACCATGGACGTATAACTAATGTTCAGGTCTACGTCCTGTTTTGACTGATAAAACATAAAAAATAAAATAGTTAAAGAAGACGTGTGTTCATTTATTCGGAAAAGGATTATATTTTAGATTTCGGTTAATCAATTGTAAAAGGACCTTCTAGAGCCTCAATACTAACACACAAAAATGTCAATCATTAATACAAAGCAACTTTAAAAACCTGAATGAATTTTCCCACGGTCGTTCAGAGAGGTCACCTGAGTTTACTGGTACGTGATATTATTTCCCACCATTTAAAAATCTCGTGCTGTGGATAAAATTGATGTCAGCTATTTTTAGCATTTAATATTGTGAGCGAAGTCAAGTTCAACCACACACTGTTGATCACTGAGATGTGTATCGTGGAATTGTCTTCTCGCGGCAAATTAATTTCTTTTAAAATCTTTTAAGATCACTGTCCAAAATACAACACACAAGTTCACATTCATTGTGTGTAAGACGAGTTAATGCAGCTGTGGAAGATTTCCTGTTGTAGCCGAAATGTATTATCCTAAAGTAATGCCAACAAATCGTAAAAAGAAATGCCGTAGACTTATAAAGCATAACGAATGGTGAATAATATTTTCTTTTTTACTTGCATATACAAAACTTTGAGACACGTAATTTTCTTTAAACTGCTCACATTTAATCGGCGGTAGTTTCCGTTTATTTTTACACAAGTATGTCCCTTTTTTTGTAAATAAAATATTAATTTACCTATGAAAAATATCGAGGTCAAAATCAAGTATAGTTTTTTTTATAAAACTTTAATGCAATTGAAAGAATTAACAACAACATTTTGCTTTTAAATCTTTTATTTGTTTCAAGCAACTAGATAATTGTAAAAAGAAAATGCCGTAGACTTATTAAGCATAACAAATGGTGAATAATATTTTCTTTTTTACTTGTATACAAAACTTTGAGACACGTAATTTTCTTTTAACTGCTCACATTTATTCAGCTTTGAAGTAGAATTTCGTGTTTTTTTCCACATTTGCCACAAAATTTTATAAACCTTTTCGGTAATGTTTGTTTTTTTTAAACAAGCAAGTCCATTTAGGTAAATATATTTTTTAGATTAGCAAGCAAGAAATACGAAAATATTTTAACTTATTTTTAACACGAAAATTAAACTTAACCATTATAAAAAGACAATTAAAATTATACACTTGTTTGACACTTAAACTGGTACAGTAGACCAGAAATATAATTGTTTATTACATCAGGTAATCCAATTACCCTATCAGTTGTGTGCCGGCATAGATTAAAGTAGGATTAGGGCTATAAATTCCTCGGTGTTGGGAGTGAGCTCACTATCACAATTAACATTTACGCGATTTTGGGAGAGATTACTCCTAAATTCCTCCCAACATTTTGGGAGGAATATCAGAGTTTCCTCGGAGTGACTCCGAAATTTTCCTTGGTGTAAGGTGTGGGAGAGCTGGTCCATTTGAATGGTACTGTACATGTACATGGGTATTATCCCAATTTACAATGTTAAAAATCTAAAGTTTGGATGCAATACTTTACCACTGTAGATCAATCTCTTATTTGGGGCATTATTCCCATAAATGGGGAAATACATTGTACCAACCCGTTTAGGCTGTTGCATAGGCGTCAACTTCCCTGAATTCAGTAGGAGCCTCCTGATTTTATCCAAAATTTCAGGAACATTCCCTTCTGTGGCCATCTCTCATGCTGGAGTTAGAATCTCCCTCTTCTATAGAGCTTTCGAATTCATATGGCCAAGTTGAAAGGTTTAAAGGATATTTTCAATGTTAAAAAAAGTTCAAACTGAATTTAGAAGTGAACTTGGCAATGATACAATTAATATGTTGTAAACAAAATGCAGACGTGCCTTGTTATGACATTGAAACATCTGAAAGTGTGTTAAACGCTGCTAATCAGCTGCTGTTATGTTACTACAACTATCTAAATCTAACTAATTGTTAAAAATCAAAATAAAATATGTAACTTGCATTTATGTTGTTATTACAAACAACAGTTAGTAGGCTATGAAATGGCACATACAAATTATTATACAGTAAATATCCCTCTAAAATATTGAGGTTTTGAAAGTTGACACCTACACATGTATGCAAATGCGATTCTTAGAAAGGCATCCAAGCAAACAAATCAAGATTAGCCTTCCAAATAGAGTCATAATATTTTGGAATACAATATGGTGTACTGTAAGTTCAGAAAGTTTTCCATTTGTTTTGATTATTGCGAAATTCAGAATTTATATTTTGGAATGCATATCCTAAAGTCGCAATAATTCATCCCACATTTTTGAAGATTTTACAACAATTTAAAAGATTAATTTATGCAAACATTTCTGAATTTTAGTATTTATGAGACAAAATCTCTACACACTCTTGACAAAAATCTAAAGCAAATGAACATACCACATCATCTTTTTATGCCCCGCCGTAGCGGTGGGGGCATTAAGTTTTACCCTTGTCTGTCTGTACGTACGTACGTCCCAAAATTGGTTTCCCTTCTCTAACTTGAGTTTGCCTCAACCAAATGTTATGAAACTTATACACAATGCTTATTACCACAAAACACAGATCAAGTTTGAATTTTGGTGGCGTTACTTTAACCGTTCTAGATTTATGCCCCTTTATAAATGGAAAAATTGCAAAATTTTTATTTTCTTCTAAATATCAAGTAATTTGTAAAATTGGAGTTATCTTCCTTTGTCCATGATTATAGTTGAATTAACTACAATCAATGTTTTATACAATTCAATGTTTAATTTTGACTTCCACTGATAAAACACAGATCAAGTTGAATTTGGATAGTGTCACTTTAACCAATATTGAGTTATGCCCTTTATAAATCGAACGATTGCAAAATTTTTAGTTTCCATTAATTAACTTAAGTTTGCCCCAACCAAACATTATGAAACCTATACACAATATTCATTACCACAAAACTAAGATCAGGTACAAATTTTTTGTTTCCATTTTCTAACTTTAGTTTGCCTCAACCAAATGTTATGAAACTTATACACAATGCTTATTACTACATAATACAGATTAAGTACGAAATTTGGTGGCGACACTTTTACTATTCTTGAGTTATGTCCCTTTATAAACATAAAAATTGCTGAATTTTTCGTTTCCATTCTCTAACTTTAGTTTGTCTCAACCAAATGTTATAAAACTTATACACAACCGTTCTAGAGTTATGCGTGTTTACAAATAGAAAAATTGCTTTTTAGTTTCTGTTCTCTACTTAAGTTAGCCTGAACCAAATGTTATGAGACTTACACACAATGCTTATTACCACAAAACTCAGATCAAGTTCAAATTTGGGTAGCGTCACTTTTACAGTTCTTCAGTTATGTCCCTTTATAACTATATGATATGCAAGCGGGGGCATCATCTGTGTCCACATGTGGACACTATCCACATTTATTTTTATATGTCTTTTATCACTGTTCTTCATCTCAAAATAAAATTTAGCTGTATTTGACAAAACCTTTCAGAATTTCAGGTCCCCATTGCTCTTCAACTTCGTATTTTATTTGGCCTTATTAACATTTTTGATTCAAACCTCACTGGTGAGTCTATTATAGGGACAGTGTTTGTTGGGTGGGGAGTGGGGGGGGGGGGGGTAACTGTCGAAATGCTCTCTTTTCAATAAGTTGCTTTAATTTACAGCTTATGATGTAGTAAAAGAACACTGAACAACCAACAACCAAGAATGTCCATTCCTGTAGTTCCAGGTACAACAGGCTCTGTAGGATCGCCACAGAGAAATGTTGGTGTTGCACAGTCTCCAAGAACTCTTACACAGCCACAGGAAATGAAGATAGTACAGGATATTTTGGGTACGACATTGCTCATATAAATAGGATATATGATAGTGATGAATAGATGCTTTCCATTCATCTACCAATATTTTAGATTATGCATATTTGGGATAAAAAAAACATGTCAATGTCAAATTAATAATGCTTAATACAAGCTACCGTATAGACCAACTAGCTGAATCAGACCTTTAGTGTACAAGCTCACATGTTACAGTCTGCAGGTAGACATGTTATCCCTTCCAGAGATATTACATGTATTCTGAATCAGAGTCAACTACTTGTAATTATTACTAACTTTGTTCACTTATAATTTAATCAGCTGTGTGCTTAGTAAAGTAGTAGAAAATAGCAGTTTCATATAGTCTTTGGTTTGACTCAGCTGGGGATTGCATAAATTCATTATCTTCTGCATTTGTTTTAAGCACATCAGATGCGTATCCAGGATTTTGAAAAAGGGGGAGGGGAGGGAGTGCAAACAAGGCAATGTTAGGAGTGGAACTTGTAAAATGTCTATGCAATAGTTTGCATTGAACATATTGAATATATATGTAGCTTCATAAAGGGGTGCCCAATTTTTACAACATTACTAGTAAGAGTGTTTAGAGGCATTCTCTGAAACTACTTGTAAATAATAAACACTCCAGACCTATGAAATGATGAAAGGTTCTCAGGTTTTTGGTAAGCCAAATTTTAAGGGACGTAATCGACCAGCATAATTATACTCTTTGATTCAATGTATTCTATTAAAAATTGTGAGATTTATGGTTTGAATTGTAGTCTATTTTTTCAGATTGTATTAATGAAATGAAGTCAGACTTTGAGGAGAGTAAGATACCTATAGATGATGACAATCAACAACTACAGAGGTTTTGTGCTAAGCTGGAGTATCTGTTCCAGAGCAATATGAAAGGTATCTTGTTCTGCCAGATCAGGCTGGTTCATTGTTAAATTTGGAAAGATTAGAACTATTGTTAAATTTGGAAAGATTAGAACTACTGTTAAATTTGGAAAGATTAGAACTATTGTTAAATTTGGAAAGATTGGAACTATTGTTAAATTTGGAAAGATTGGAACTATTGTTAAATTTGGAAAGATTGGAACTATTGTTAAATTTGGAAAGATTAGAACTATTGTTAAATTTGGAAAGATTGGAACTATTGTGAAATTATTAAATTTGGAAAGATTAGAACTATTGTTAAATTTGGAAAGATTAGAACTATTGTTAATTAAATTAGGAAAGATTGGAACTATTGTTAAATTTGGAAAGATTGGAACTATTGTTAAATTTGGAAAGATTGGAACTATTGTTAAATTTGGAAAGATTGGAACTATGGTTAAATTTGGAAAGATTGGAACTATTGTTAAATTAGGAAAGATTGGAACTATTGTTAAATTAGTAAAGATTGGAACTATTGTATCAACTCATTCCTACAGCATCTGCCTCATCCACCAGGATGTAAAAAGATTAGCCACTTAATTATACATACTGAAATATAGTTCCCAATACTTGTTATGCCAGATCAGACTGGTTTCTTGTTTAATTTGGAACTTTGGATTTAATTCTTTCCTGCAGCATCTGCCTGTAAAAAGGAAAGTCACTAGATTATACACATGGAAGTATTGTTTCCTATATTTCTCATGTCTATGTAAAATATACACATATTTCCCATAATTTATAACAGTTTTTAGCATAATTTACTTTTACCTCCATCCCAGATCCAGAATTTGTTTGTGTCTAGGGACTCACCATTAACCTTAGCACCGCTTGGTTACAGAAAACTTTGGATTGTAGATTGCGGCCAAGGTTTTCCTTAAGCTTTTTGGTCTGAATAATGCACAAAATTGTCATTTTGACAAGATCTCCAAAATGTCCTGACCTTAGAGCCTATAATGTAATACCATATAGATATTTGTTTTACTTAGGAATCAGGCTTTTGAAATAGGTCAATTTTAGAAGAAAATTGGGGCCTTGTTGATATATTATGATAAAATTCAAGTTCAAGGCCATATTTTGCCAAAAGTGAACCTTGTCCTTGTTTATTCTTGTTTCCCAGGGATATCAAAATAGATTTTTAATACTAAAGGCTAAAACTCTCTTGGAGGTGTTTTCTTTAATTGTGCATGAAGACTGTTTTGTATCAACTATGCTTATTCGATAGTGTGTTGGTGATTGTTTCAGGAGTTTTAGGAATTATAAAAGTTAGTTGTTTGATATGCTAAAATCTTTAAAAATGTACCAGGATGCAAATTTTATTGTAGCTGTAAGGCAGGAGCCTTTTTTACATTTGATTAAACATATTACATCAGAGTTTGTTTGATATTTTTTAGAAAAGAAGAACTTACTTGGAAGAAAAAAAGATTACTGGGATTATTTTTGTAACTGTCTAGGAAAAACAAAAGGCATAAGTGATGGGATAAGATTTGTCAAGAGTGTATCAGAGGTCAGGACATTTCCTTTGATAAAGATTGATTTCATTTTAAAATATCATTGATCAGTCATGTATTTCATTTCGGTAAAATTTGCAAACGGTATATATGTTAAGTAAAAACAATATTTTCCTTGTGTTTCTTCAAATTTTTTTTTGTAATGCACTTTAGAAACAACGTCCTTTTTCTTGCCATATATATATGACCATATATGAATAAAAAGAGATTTGGGTATACATTAATGACACATTTACCCAACACCACACTAGAACCAAAACATACATCTAGTGGTCTTCAGTGATAATCAAATATCAATGGAGTGGATGTACAAAGGAACCTGATATCTGAATCTTTTCTTTCATTTTTAATGAAAATATGTTTTAAGTATTATAGACAAATGTTAACACTATTTGTCAAATTCCTCATTTGTATTCATTTTTTATTCCGCCATTGCTACAAAATTTTAACCAAATAAAACATGAAATTTTATGCAGAAAATTGATACATTGTAAGAATTGTATTCAATTGTTTTCATACAAAGTTTTAATCTAATATTCATAATTTTTGAAAAATCAAACTATAAGTTATTTTATTTTAACTTGAACAGTAATAAATCCTCCAAAGAGAAATTACTAGATAAGTTATGATTCAAAAGTTTTTTTGTATGTTTGCAGAAGTCACAAAGTTTGTTTGTAAAGAAAATTCTATAATTTCTAAAAAAAAAAAAAAAATAAGATTTTTTTTTGTTGACAAATGTAATTTTCCTTATTAGGTAATATCCTGTTTAAATCCCACAAAAACATTAACTAGATGTAGATGAATAAAAATTCAAAAGTCAAGAAAATTTCAGATAATCTCATGATCAATTATGGTCTGGATAATTGAAGTCTTGTAAAACCAAAAAATCAAATATCCATGTGAGTTTCCCACAATTCATGAAAATTGGTACCCACGAAAATAAATGAATCCACAGCTAATTATGTGCTACCTGAAATGATATATCTTTAACTTGAAAGTGTTAAAGATAAAAACATTCAAGAGATATCTTTTTATGCCCCCGCTGTAGCGGTGGGGGCATTAAGTTTTACCCTTGTCCATCTGTACATATGTACGTACGCCCCAAAATTGGTTTCCGTTCTCTAACTTGAGTTTGCCTCAACCAAATGTTATGAAACTTATACACAATGCTTATTACTACAAAAAGCAGATCAAGTTTGAATTTTGGTGTCGTCACTTTCACCATTCTAGAGTTATGCCCCTTTATAAATGGAAAAATTGCAAAATTTTTAGTTTCCGTTCTCTAACTTAAGTTTGCTTCAACCAAATGTTATGAAACTTATACACAATGCTTATTACCACAAAACACAGATCAAGTTCAAATTTTGGTGTTGTCACTTTAATCGTTCTAGAGTTATGCCCCTTTATTGTAGAGCCTTCGACTTTAGTCGAAAAAGCGAGACAAAGCGATCCTACATTCCGTCGTCGTCGTCGGCGTCCACAAATATTCACTCTATGGTTAAAGTTTTTGAAATTTTAATAACTTTCTTAAACTATCCTGGATTTCTACCAAACTTGGACAGAAGCTTGTTTATGATCATAATAATAATAATATGATAGTATCCAGAAGTAAATTTTGTAAAAATAAAATTCCTGTTTTTCCGTATTTTACTTGTAAATGGACTTTTCTGCCAGGAAACATTACATTCACTCTGTGGTTAAAGTTTTTAAAATTTTAATAACTTTCTTAAACTTTCCTGGATTTGTACCAAACTTGGACAGAAGCTTGTTTATGATCATTAGATAATATCCAGAAGTAAATTTTTTAAAATTTTTTAAAATTTTTTCTGTATTTTACTTATAAATGGACTTAGTTTTTCTGCCAGGAAACAATACATTCACTCTGTGGTTAAAGTTTTTTAAATTTTAATAACTTTCTTAAACTATCCTGGATTTGTACCAAATTTGGACAGAAGCTTGTTTATGATCAAAAGCTAGTATCTAGAAGGAAATTTTGTTAAAATTGGTACCTGTTTATCCGTATTTTACTTATAAATGGACTTAGTTTTTCTTCCAGTTAACATTAAATACAGTCTGCAGTTAAAGTTTTTAAAACATTTATTAGAATCATAAACTATCCTGGATTTATACCAAACTTTGACAGAAGCTTCTAACAATCAAAAGATAGTATCTAAAGGAATATTTTTATTGATTTTTTTCCTCATTTTTGTTGAGCCTGCGATTAACAGCAAAAGTAGGCGAGACACTTGGTTCCGCGGAACCCTTACAAATTTTAAATGGAAAAATTGCAAAATTTTTAGTTTCTGTTCTCTAACTTAAGTTTGCCTCAACCAAATGTTATGAAACTTATACACAATGCTTATTTTCACAAAACACAGATCAAGTTTGAATTTTGGTGTTGTCACTTTAACCGTTCTAGAGTTATGCCCCTTTATAAATGGAAAAATTGCAAAATTTTTATTTTCTTCTAAATATCAAGTAATTTTTAAAATTGTAGTTATCTTCCTTTGTCCATGATTATAGTTGAATCAACTACTATCAATGCTTTATACAATGCAATGTTTAATTTTGACTTCCACTGATAAAACACAGATCAAGTTGAATTTGGGTAGTGTCACTTTAACCATTATTGAGTTATGCCCCTTTATAAATTGAAAGATTGCAAAATTTTTAGTTTCCTTTCTGTAACTTAAGTTTGCCCCAACCAAACATTATGAAACCTATACACAATATTCATTACCACAAAACTAAGATCAAGTACAAATTTTTTGTTTCCGTTTTTTAACTTTAGTTTGCCTCAACCAAATGTTATGAAACTTATACACAATGCTTATTACTACATAATACAGATTAAGTACGAAATTTGGTGGCGACACTTTTACCATTCTTGAGTTATGTCCCTTTATAAACAAAAAAATTGCTGAATTTTTCGTTTCCGTTTTCTAACTTTAGTTTGTCTCAACCAAATGTTATAAAACTTATACACAACCGTTCTAGAGTTCTGCATGTTTACAAATAGAAAAATTGCTGAATTTTTAGTTTCTGTTCTCTACTTAAGTTAGCCTCAACTAAATGTTATGAGACTTACACACAATGCTTATTACCATAAAACTCAGATCAAGTTAAAATTTGGGTAGCGTCACTTTTACCGTTCTTCAGTTATGTCTCTTTATAGATTGAAATAAACAATTAACTTCCCCATAGGCGACAATGATAGCCTTTTTTGGGATACAGACTTTAGAAAGTTGATTTTTTTAACAAAACCTTGCTAGAATTACAGAAAAGTTATTCGGACAGTATTTTTTGGTCCAAAAAATATAGGTTCGCGTTGCTTTTCTTAACATATTTTGTACTTATCTCCCATGCCTATCAATTTTGCACTTCAAAATACGTGTCTCGTCCTAGCGTTAAAAAGACATCTCATTTCCATTAGGGCTAAGGAAAATAATTTGTTTGGCCTTTGATATTATGAGAATGCACGAAGTCTCTAATAATAAAAAATAATGGGCACACATATCAACCAATCAGGATTAGCCATACTCTTAATTCTGAATACCATGTTATGCTCATAAAATGGCTGCGCCCATACAATCTAATGGTGTATTATAACCTTTAAAGGGAAACTTCGCAAAAAAATGAAAAATTGATATTATGTCCATTCTGTATAAAAAATCTCAAATTCATAAATATTAAAGTTTTATTCTGCTAGATAAGAGATCACCATCGATTTTAAATCTAGAGTATCAATTCTCTGCGTGCGGCCATTTTGACATCTTCTCGGTTTAGAAACCACGATATATCTATAAACCACAAAGGACCAAAACCAACAGTAACCTAATGTAGTCGTAATTGCGTGTCGATATCTTGTCAATCGTACGGTTGTTTTATCCGACTAACAAACTTGATACGGAAAATGTAATTATTTTTTAAATAACCATGGTCTGTCATTTTTAAACTGTTTATATGGGAATTAGTTAAAAAGTCAAAGTTCAAAGTCATAAATAAGTGTTCCGTGTAAAATTGTTTTCGAAAATCTAATTTGTTCATAATTTTTTTATGTAATAAACTTATTTAAATAAATTTTGGACCTTCCCTTATCTGATCACCAGCATGGCTAAAGGTATTACTCCCAAAGGTATTGTGAGGTGACACGTCCAGGTATTCAAGCGATTTCCTGTCGGGCTTGCAAGTTCATGCATCATTTCACTTCTGAGGGTATTGATCAGTGTACACGGCCGATAACTTGTAACTTTCCATCTTGAACTATCAGGTGTATAATATACATCTCTGTCTTGCGTGTCCGATAGTGATATACTAGTCATTACTAAACTCATACGCTTATTTATAAATAACATTTCTGGTGTAAAGAATATTATTTATGAAAATCTAAATAATTCCAAAAAAAGATTTGATAAAATATAAATCTATTTACATATTTTTTCAAGGGTAAATTGGGGAAAATGTAAGTATATACTCGTCAATAATGAAGGACATTTTGAAACATACAAGAAATATTGATTTAACAAAAATGTACGCACTTGTCGATCATTGGTTTATACGCCTGGATAGAAAGTTACGGAACTATAGATAGTCGCAATTTAAAATATATACATGTATATTGAATATAAGAAAGAAACATACATTTTGTTTAAACTGGGGTAAAAAATTTGTAAATAGTCCACGTATGCGAACAGTATGTAATCATTGGATGTCGATGGAATATTGTATATTAAAAGAAGAAGAAGAAGAATCAATTAGATTGTTCTCGAACAGTTGAAGAAATTCGTCATCATCACAATTGTTGGGTATAATGTATAATAATGTGAACATGGTTCTGAAAGTACCTTATGCCAAATTTCCTGTTCCGACATGCATGTAATATATATATGCCACTGGACGTGCACTAATGATCCCCAAAAAGTCTATTTGAAGAAATAAAGAAACTTCACTTCGGATAGACTGATAGTAGTTGTACAAAAATGTATTAACGAATATCGTATTAACGTCTGATCAGCTAGAGGGTTGATTAATTTATTACGTTAGATTGTTGGTGAATAAGCCATTCCCAATATTGCACTTATGCATAAAATATTAAATAAGAGTAACATGAGAAAAAATATAAATACGAAAAAGTCGCATATCTGGTAAAAAAAAGTCTCACTATCTATAGGATTTCACGTACAATTGCCATTCTTAATAGAAATAACGGACAGTCATTATAATACATGAATGACGGTACGCTTTGATAAAAAGGGGTGCCGCATATTATTCATCATCAATCTATTTTTTTCAAGTTTATACTTTCCTGTTATTCTTATCAGTTAACGCAGAGACATGTCACTATGCATCTCTAGTTAACAACATCAACTATATAAATATCTGAATCTGATGTGACTTACCGTTCATCTCTTGCTTTTTTTTTTTTCCTCTTTTTTTTTGTTGATTTGGGCATGATTTGGGCATGCAGGAACATTAACATTGTTAGATATACTTGTCTAATGGTTCCCAGGTTGTTGTTTTTTTGGGGGGGGGGGGGGAGGTGGCGTGTTGGAGGTCAAGTCTATCGAAAGTTACAAAATAAGAACGTTTTATTTATAAGAATTGAAAAGACGAATTATGTTCTTTGACGTAGGGTTTTAGTTCAGTGATTTAAATTGAGAAAATATCTAGTCAGAATTTAAATCGTTCCGGCAATCCACCATGTAAGACTCCTCTAAAATCGTGAATTGTCATGCTTCACAATCATCAGAATTTTCTTTGCATTGGTACATTCTGTATCGGTAGTGATTAACCATGACATTTCCGGATATAACAGAGCTACTTGTATATTACCTGCATGTGGTTAGGTGTCGTCCTATGAGGTCTTACGTATACAGTTTCACATTTATAGTGGTTTCTGATATAACAAGGTTTTATGACATTAATTCACACTTCTGCATGTTCAGTATACCACATTTTTATCTTATTTTCAGACCGAAAGGGGATGTGAATATTTTTCAGGAAAAATATTCAGTACCAAAGTATCAAATTAATTTCGGGATTTTTTTTCTTTCTTGGTATTAAATAACAGAAATTTAAAGAATAAACTGCTTGTCCGCTTTAGGTGTATTCTTGCCAGTTAAAACAGACTAATAATTATATGTGTATTTATGTCTCTGGTATAGACATGGTTTATGAATGAATTATAAGTCTTGCAAAAGTACAAGATATAAAGCACATTGAAAATTTATTCCGCCGGTCTGTCTCCATTCAAAAATAGGGAAAGTTGACATTAAATTGGTTCTGTCTTTTTTTTTTAAACATCGTTGGTCAAATAGCTAAAGTATTATACGTTGTGAGACTTAGAATATTTTAATAAGGACATTCCCGATTATGTATAATTTTTTTTTATGTTTTTCACACCTGAAAAGAATATTTGTTCGTAATTATTCGATTCCATTCCAAGAAGGACCTTAAATTTCCTGTCAAATTTTTAAACATCTTTTTTTCAAATAGCTGAAGTATTTATGAGTTGTGAGATTTAAAATATATTGATGAGAACATTAATTCCTGAATATGTAAATAAAGATCGCTTTGGATGGACCAAATTATATAATTGCAATTTTTAATGATCTATTTCAAATATTCAAGGTTACCGATTCTAATTTGAAATAGTACAATTTTTAGTTCATACACTCGTGTTTAGAAGGCTATTATTATTTATAAATTTATTCAATTAAATTAATTCAGTATTTCATGGTTACAAAAATAGTCAGCGGTCATAATTCATTTAAAACTGAGCTTACGCAAAATATAAAAATATACAACGGCTATCCAGTTATTGTGCCACCTTATTACTCCCCTAAATTAATTTTAATTCTTTTTTATATTTTCTGTGTCTAAAACTATCACTCCCGTTTATCATTCATACGAAATGTTGTTCACACCTGGAACGGTGAACCGTGACGGCTAAAATTCAATGAGTGAAGATCAAAAGATTAGAATTCCAGAATGCTAATCTTTTAATTACCTTGAGTTTAACCACGCATTCAACATTCACTAAGTGTCACAGAACAATACACATAGTATTTACACAGTACAAGCAGGAAATGTTTGCAAGACTGAAGCAAAAAGGTCAGAATACAAACATGTATTTTTAATACACTATCAATCATGTCAGTTTCATATGTTTGTTTAAGGTATTTGTCGGAAAAAAAAATCATAAAAATTTTCTATTGTATGATTTACTTTTATTACTAAAATTCGTATCAAAAATCCTTAAAACATAAATCCTACAATATAATTTTAAAAGTTGCACGGCTATCACTTTACTTTCTTTATTTTTAGTTGGTTAATAGCTACACCAAAAGTCGTCGATGCGCTTTAAATCGCTTTATTAGATGGTTAACGAACAAGACTTAAATGAGATTAATTCAACTCCCGGCATGCAAAAAGACTTAAACTATGTCACAGAAGTCAGGAAGTTCGTATAGATAAAATTAATAATTCCCAATTTTCTTCTTTATTAGTTTTCATATCCAAATAAAACTTGGTGAATATGTTTTTTATGGTATTATGAACATAATAAGATGATAAGTGAAAAATCGCGAATTTTCCCTTTAACTATATGATATGCAAGCGGGGGCATCATCTGTGTCCACATGTGGACACTATCCACATTTATTTGTATTTGTTGTAACTGCATAGTTGTATTTAACTTGTAAGCAGTTGTATTGGGGTAAAGTTTTATGCACCCTGTATATGGAATTAAACCAAGTAATTTCTTTATGTCTCTAGAATTTTCTTATTTTTCATCTTTTTAAATTTCAGTACAAGACATCTCTTGGCAAAGGAAGAGCATTCTTAAGGTTTTGTTTAGTGCATAATAGAATGGCAGATAGTTTACAGGCCTGTATTATCAATGGAAAAACAACAAGGTTAGTCTATTATATAACAAACATATGACAATAACATAACCACATTAAATACTGCACATTAAACACAACCTTTATCAAGATCAAGATAACGATCTCTCAATATAAAAATATAATCACATTTGCAATACAAGTACTTTGTTCCAATGTGATGACAAACATGACAGCTAAATTAAAATTCTTGATTATGATTGGATCCTCATTAAACAGTCTGAGGTTTTATTTTGCTTTCGTTCCAACAATGCTAAATATTGAATGTGCATGTATGATTGAGTAATATTAATGTTGAACATAAAATTGAGAATGGAAATGGGGAATGTGTCAAAGAGACAACAACCCGACCATAGAGCAGACAACAGCCGAAGACCACCAATGGGTCTTCAATGCAGCGAGAAACTCCCGCACCCGGAGGATGTATTAATTTTAGTGCAGAATATGATGTGATAATTTGTAGCACTGATAAGCAATAAATCAATACAGGCTAATAGAAACCTCTAGAAAATATCTACATAATGTAATATAATAGTAAATTTTGACATTTTGGCAAAATGTAATAAAAGTGATAATTCACATTCCAATAGACTCAACTTCAGATGACCTTATCTTGACACTATTATTAGCCACACATATTTACTTTATGAATTGTAATAACCAAAATTATTTTATTGCAGTGAATGGTTCTATCCAGAGTCAATATGGTTACACCAAGATAGGAACAGTGTATTAATCAGCGCTTTATATGATTTAAGTGGACTGCAGTTTGACCTTGCATCAAGTGGATATGACCTTGACAATGCATGGCCATCTTTTGCAAAGTATAGTATTTTGAATGTGGAATCTGTTATATAATCTTAATCTTTTGTAAAGCTAGTGGTAGAATCCTAGCTCTACGAGTAATATAGGGTACACATGTCATAAAAACAAAAAGGAACATAAGAGCTACAATTCTGAAGCTTTTGGCATATAATATCCTCCACAATAATTATTTACTGTTTGAATATAATAGATGGATTGAAATCAGACTTATTTAATAATGACTAGGCATTTCCCTTTTTGTGTTCAGATCCATTTCTCAGGTATCTATGTCTTTTCTATATGTGCTATATGGGTTTATCTCATTTTTTAAGGCTGTACGGTTGCCTATAATTGCTTACATCCACTTCATTTGAAGTCTGGTAGATAGTTGTCTTATTAGCAATCATACCACATTTCCTTATTTTTAGCTCACCTGGCCCGAAGGGCCAAGTGAGCTTTTCTCATCACTTGGCGTCCGGCGTGTGGCGTTCGGCATCGTCGTCCGTCGTCGTTAGCTTTTTACAAAAATCTTCTCCTCTGAAACCACTGGGCCAAATTTAACCAAACTGGGCCACAATCATCATTAGGGTATCTAGTTTAAAAAATGTGTCCGATGACCCCACCAACCAACCAAGATGGCCGCCATGGCTAAAAATAAAACATCGGGGTAAAATGTAGATTTTGGCTTATAACTCTGAAACCAAAGCATTTAGAGTAAATCTGACACAGGGTAAAACTGATTACCAGGTCAAGATCTATCTGCCCTGATATTTTCAGACAAATCTGACAACCTGTTGTTGGGTTGCTGCCCCTGAATTGGTAATTTTAAGGAAATTTTGCAGTTTTTGGTTATTATCTTGAATATTATTATAGATAGAGATAAACTGTAAACAGCAATAATGTTCAGCAAAGTAAGATCTACAAATAATTTGTCATGACCAAAATTGTCAGTCGACCCCTTTAGGAGTTATTGCCCTTAATAGTCAATTTTTAACAATTTTTTGTAAATTTTTGTAATCTTTTACAAAAATCTTCTTCTCTGAAACTACTGAGACAAATTTAACCATACTTGTCCATAATCATTATTAGGGTATCTAGTTTAAAAAATTCGTCCAATGACCCCGCCTTCCAACCATCATGGCCGACTTGGTTAAAAATAGAACATAGGGGTAAAATGCAGTTTTTGGTTTATATCTCTGAAACTAAAGCATTTAGAGCAAATCTGACAGTTGGCAAAAATGTTCATCAGATTTAGATTTATCTGCCCTGAAATTTTCAGACGAATCCGACAACCCGTTGTTGGGTTGCTGCCCCTGAGTTAGTAATTTTACAAAAATTTTGCAGTTTTTTTTTTGCTTATTTTAGCGGGTCAGGAGAAATCGCGAAAATAAATTCCGCGAAAATTTATGCATACGTTCGATACTTTCTAATAGCTAAAGCGTTTTGTAAACTATCTATTTTTTTCCGTTCGATGGATCAATAACGGTTTATGTTAATTTAAACAATATAAATGCCAAATGCCATTGTTCACTGGCTATCAGATGTTAATTAGTTTTTTGGTTACATTATAAAATAAATAATAATATAAGAGTGTAAGGTACGATTGTCAGGTATTTTATCCTTATAAATTAGTGTCAAATTATATAAGAGTTGCAAGTCACTCATGATAATTTTATAATCTAATTAGTACATCAAAGGTCCGGTCAATTTCGTAACTAATCAACCGTAACATTTTCAAGAAGTTTGTACACCTGTGACAAATAACTATGTACCGGTATTCTATTGATTAAATGTATCAAAATATAATCCATAAATAAGACGACATGCAGGTAGAACAATCATTTAACCCGTGTTTGTCAATTTTTAAAACTTTTTAACTGCAACCATTTCAGTATCCGCCAAAATATTGAATTGGAATTAAAGAATCCACCAAAATAAAAACCGCCAAAAATTTTCGTATACTTTGTTGCCCCTAAATCGCGAAATTTTACACCCACAAAAATAACCAGCTATACGGTATGAGATTCCATAATGAAAAACTTAAACAATATAAGGTTGGAAAGAAAAGAATATTTTCCAGACCAGGAAACTTTATAACATTGTATAGGATTGTATATCATATTTTATTGTATTATACTTTCATGAAATTAAGAAGTAGTATGCTTGTCTATATGAAACTCAACGACTCTTTTCACAAAAAATGTTACGAGTAAAAACACTCGTAAGTCATAAACATTTCCATATAACTTACGATCAATTTCAGTAGTAAGATTTTTGTGAAAAGAGCCCCTGTTCTTTTGATACATGTATTTATAGCATTATCAGGGTAACTTGCTGTTAAAGCTGTAGTAGTAAGGTCATTGTTTACAGCTTTTGTGCAAACAATTTATTATCAATTGTAAAAATGTTTATGGTTACATATACTTAGACCCAAACTATTTAGCTGACTATTTTTGAAAAAAAGATTTAGGTTTATTATAATTTTCTATTGTTTGTTCATATGTCATGAACTGTCACAGGTTCACTATCAATGAATACTTTATGATCATTGATATTGTAAAATATCAGCTGTGAGTCACATTGTGAACTTTCTTGTTGATTACTACAGCGAACAAGCCAAAAAAGTTTCACATTATGTCAATAATTGAAATAGAACTTATCACAGTTTTTTTTCATTAGAGTAAAACTTCTATTTTACTCTAATGAAAAAAAAACTGTGATATGAGAATTTGGAGAATCTGAACAGAGGGATATATGCACAGAGAAGTGTGATCTATAACTGTTGATTTAGTACAAGGTTTACTGACAAGGAAAGCATATGCTTTTATTTGTTTGTTATTATTATTTTCTAGGAAGAGTCTTGGGTCACATCACACTTGGAATATGCCATCAAGGACATCAAGTATGAGTAGTTTAATCAGTATTCCTGGGCAGGTAAACTTATTTCAATTCAAAACAAAATTAACAATTTAGTTAAATGTTATATTTGGTAGTCATACAATTGAATTTCTGCAGGAAAGCATGAAAGGGTAATTTTGGACTGCATTTTAATACAAAGGGGAAAAATGTGTAGTTTAAAAAGTTACCAAAGCATTTTTGATAGCCAAAGTAAAGTTTAATATACATGAAATATCACTGTTAAGATCAATGACCAAATTTATTAATCATCAAAATCAGTTTGTTCATTTCAGCTGTTTTGATAAATTTCATTTATGTCAAGCTGTTCCTCTGAAAGGTAATACTTATTGAATAAATCGTAAATTTATTTCAATAAATGATTAGAATTTAATGGTCTTCAAAATAACATGATTTAATAAAATTGATTTTATTTCTTATCAAAAGAGAGCAAATGAATGATTTTTTTACTGTATATGAACATATGTCCTTTGATTGAGTTAAGCTATTTCAGTTGATATTTTATAGTGTGTCTTTCTATGTTGTGATGTTACACTATTGTTTCAGGAAAAAGGGTGGAGGTTTGGTACCATTAAAACGTTTAAACCCGCTGCATTTGTTTGCACCTGTCCTAAGTCAGGAATCTGATGTTCAGTAGTTGTCGTTTGTTGATGTGGTTCATAAGTGTTTCTCGTTTCTCGTTTTTTATATAGATTAGACCGTTGGTTTTCCCGTTTGAATGGTTTTACACTAGTAATTTTTGGGGCCCTTCATAGCTTACTGTTCGTTGTGAGCCAAGGCTCCGTGTTGAAGACCGTACTTTGATCTATAATGGTTTACTTTTATAAATTTTGACTTGGATGGAGAGTTGTCTCATTGGCACTCATACCACATCTTCTTATATCTATTTATGAGTTTGTTTATCCCTTTTGTATCTTTAGCCTCTCTTTTTTACCTTTCGCTAAATTAGTTTTTAGATGCAAACAATCAGCTTAATACGGTAATATATGTGAAAATTTGCACTGACTTGTTAAAAGTTAAATATTTTGGCATCATTTTCAAATTTGATTATCATACAATCCTAGGGAACCTTTTTTCTTTGACGTCCCTTACTATTATGCTTTGCCACAAAATTATGCTGAAGCATTTTGTTTTTTGTTAATCTGTCTGTAACAGCTGATTTCTTTACGAAATTGACTATGGATTAATTTTCTTCTTATTTGGTAGAAAGCTCCTTTAAAATAAAATTCAAGTGAATGCTGTTGACAGTAAAATACAAGTCTATTTTGGTTTTCTTTCATTTTTGAGTTATTCCCCTTGGGAATGCTAAAATACCAAAATCAATAATTTTACATATGTTAAGATAGATTTTCAACATCAAAACTTTTATGAGTTGTCTCCTAAACAATTAGCAAGATTGAAGCTTTCCACTTCTAAGCTTACATTGGTTGAAATCGTTGGTATATTAGAACATTTCTTACAATCACCTAATACAGTTCAAAACAAGTTAAAACAGCTTTTTGAAAATAGTTTTGTCTCCAACAAATTAAATTCCCCCCCAAGTTCTGTAGCACAACTTCAATTGTAATGATACCTAAACAAGTGCTATCTTTAATTTGAATAAAACTGCAACCACCATTGCATATTGTTATAAGGATTGTTTCCCTTTGAAAAAGGAATATCTTTAAAATTTTTAATTTAGAATATTTTTTTTGTTTATTTAGACTAAATTTAATTTAACCCACCATTTTTTTGGGGGAAAATGCCTGTACCAAGTCAGGAAAATGACAGTTGTTTTCCATTCTTTCGTTGGTTGATAAATTCTAACGTTTGATTATTAGTTTTTATGGACTTCCACTTTTTGAATTTACCTTGGAGCTTGGTATTTTTGTTATACTTTTTTTTGTTCATGTTTTACTTTTATATAAATAGCAGGATGCATCACTCCACAGATTTAACTTATCTACAACACCTATAGACACGGATGATGTTATTCATATGAGTCCAGGATCACACATCTCAGAGAGGATGCCTTCATGTTTGACAGAAAACACAGAGGCACATAAACAAGAATTAGAAGTTTTACAGCAACAACTGAATGAGGTTAAAGACAAGAACCAACAAATAACAAAGGAACACGAGGACCTAAAACAGAGGTGATATTTATGTTATGGGAAAACATCCTACATAAAACAATTTAATTTTAAAAAATTATCCCAATTGATGACTTTCATTTTTTATCAATGATTTATTGCACATTCATTAAAAAAAAAATGAATCTTTTTGTTCTTCCCTCTCCTGTTTCAAGGTCATGTGATAGAAAATATTGCTTTCAATTTGTGTCTGCAGTTCATTGTTTGCTTCATTGGAAAACCTTTTCCCCATGAAGCCTTTTCGATTAGAACAAAACTTTTCAGCAATGATTGTCAGGGTATTTAGTTTGAAATTTATATTTGATATTCTAGCAAAGTCAACTGATATGACTGTTGAAATGAAGCTGATATTTTGGTTGCTAACTTCTATGTCATTTGATATCTTGTGAAGGGCTGTCTCATTGACAGTTATACCACATTTTCTTATTTTTACATTGAAACAGGAGAAAATAGTAATTTTATGGCTATTTCTGTCTTTTGATGATATTTCAGTGTTCTCTCTACTTTTAAAATCTTTGCTGTTCACAGATGATAGTGTTATCAGTCTAAATACATATATTATGAATTATGGCTACTCATTGCAAAATTTACTTCAGCAAGGCACTGGAAGAGTTCCAATATTGGATATATTGATACTTTGCTATTGCTAATATTGTGTTTACTTCAAATTGAATATTTCAATATTTTATTTTTAACTAAGGGGTTGCAAAATTCTCCATACTTAAATGATAAATGATAATTAAAGTTAAATGTAAGAAAGAACTGAGGATCTGCCAGTTACATTGAACATTTACAAGTACCACCCTTGCTAACCCCCTAAATTAACTCTGTTATTACAAGGTACAAAGATTCTAACAAATCATTGAAACATTGCCAATTTGACCTAGCACATTATCGTGAATTTCTAAATCCTACAAAGAATTAAAACTCTTGACAATGAAAAAAAAAAAAAATTCAGATAAAAAAATCAATTTATTGTATAAAATAAAATTGAGAATGGAATACAAATTTGAAGGCAAGAATCATACTTTGTTGAAGCCTCTTGAACAGTCAGCATTTTCATACTGAATGGTTTTTTAAGATTCTTTAAAAAAAAAAAAAATATTTGTTTCCTTTATTAGATTTATATTTTTTTCTAGATATGATCGATTAGTTTTAGATCAAGAATCAAAACAGACTGAATGGGAAATGAAATACACACTGAAAACTGATGAAGTAGACAAAGTCAACAAACAGATAATGTCTCTTGACAATCAGTTACAAAATCAGAGAGAGGCTCATAGTAAACAAGAAAGTGAAAATATCAAAATGCAGTTTGAGGTCAGTTAACTTTGTACTTAAATGATTGTTTAAAAAAATATATATAGAGCAAAAATATTTTCATCAGCATGTTTACATTGGAAATTTTTCGTACAGGCCAGTGCAATCAACTGAATTGTTTTTGTAAATTACCATCATGTCAGATAGATTTTGACCACCATGTAAAGGATAAAGAGATGTGGTACATTGTCAATTAGATATTAGTTTATTTCACATTGACCTTATTGAGATCTGCTTAAGGTGCATTGAACTATATTTAGACATTTATTGATTTCTCCAACGATGCATGACCAAAACGATGTCTTGACACTTAATAAATTGAGTGGTATTTGTTCTTAAAAATGTACTAAAACTACTATAAGAAATCCATTTGAAAAAGAAAAGAAAAGAAGGGTACATATAAGACAAAAAAACAAACCCAAATTGGTCGAGAGATTATGCATTTACTGACCTAAACAGATATTGCAGACTTTGTCTTGAAAGGAAATCATTTGTTTATGATATCATAGGAAATTTCAGGAATGAATATAGACACTGCTTGGTCCATCTGCCCATCTATTTATTTATTTGTCCAAAAGAAATGGTAACCTGATGATAACTTAGGTTTGTTTTAAGTTTTTTTGTTCTACTGTGGTATAAAAGGTATTGACCATCAAAATACAGATAATGTCTTTTTAAAAATTATGTCCCTTGAAAATTGAAAATTCTAGCTGATAATTTGGATTTTCAGGTTATACCTTTATTTTGGTATTATTGAACATTTACTAATAATCCACACATAGTATGTTGTATTTGTGGACCATTTCAGTTAATGTAGATTCAATTGTTTCATCAGTACCAAGTTTTGTGGTTAAGGAAAAATTGCTTTTTTGTCGATATTTAATTTTTTTGGTTTTGCAAAATTCTGCATACAAGTCTATAAATAATTTGTACTCTGTTGAACATTTAAATTCTGGGTTCACCTGTACCAATGAAATATAAGGAAATTGGTACACCATGAATAATAAAGAATTCACAGTAACACAGAGACATTCATTGATTTAACTAGTAAGAATATGTTTGATACTACTGTCAGTACAGAATTAAAGACTTAGGATAGTTTCGTCAAAGGTCATATTTATTTGTTATTTAGGTTAGCTCATTACAACAGAATGCTGCATCAGTGAAAGATCAAAATGATGCTATGGAGGCTGAAATGTCAGTGTTAAGAGACAAACTGACAAAACAAGAAGAGAAAAATCAAGATTTATTGAACAAGATTGAAAGTTTACTTCAGGAAAAAAATGATGAGGCAAAAACTCAGAGAAGTTCTGTTGATAAACTTCAAGAAACATATGAACTAGTGAAAGGTTTAGAATCAGAAAATATGACATTGAAAAATGAAAATAAAGAGTTGAATGAAAAATGTGGGAAACTACAATCAAATATGGACGAGATTGAACAAAGCCGAATTTCGTTAGAAAACATATTAGAAAATAACAAAAAAGAACTCCAGGAAATGCAAAATAAATTATCAAAGATGGATATTCAAAAGCAGACTCTAGAAAGTCAAGGTCAAAGTTTGAACAGAGAAATAGCTTCTTTGAAAGAATTCTATGAAACTGAAAAAGGAGATACAGAAAAAGTTAAAGGGAAATTTGAAGAAAAGGTAGAGCTGGTAAAAAATTTAGAATTACAAATAGATGAAGTGAAGGTTCTTTTGAAGATACTGGTGTCTGGTGTGAATATACCAGAGGATACTGAGGTAAAGCTTGCTAAGTACTGTATATTCAGAAATTATTGTGTGCGTTTATTATTGCGATTTTTGAAGAATGGACAAAAATGTGAGATTAATTATTGCAATTTCAGGCAAATCTGCGTACAGATATATTATCAGATATCATTATGCGAGTTCTTATTGTTGCGATACACACCAAGTCGCATTTTTCGCATTAATAAAAGCCTCGCAATTATTTCTGAATTTACAGTAACAAGTAAATATTTTAACACCTATTTTTTAGAAAATATTTGTATTCATGGCCTTTTCTGTGAACATCCATTGTAACTACATGTTCATAAATGTTTCAGAAATGTATAAAATTATAAATGAGACAACAAACCAAATATGATCAAATATATTTAATTAGAATGCATCTTACACAACTATGTACTAGGTCAGTTTTCAGAACTTTTAAGACTACAAATATAAACAATATATTTTACAAATATAAACAATATATTTGAATAAATGGTTAGAAAGTCAATTGTATTATTACTGTCTTTAAGATGGCTGCTATAACAAATGAAAAAGATCCTGCATTTGTTTAAACAACACTTTTTAGACTGGAATTTACCATCAAATTGATAATAACTTAATCAGCTTGTAACTTTAACTGGTCAATCTGTTATATGATTTTCTTCTTCTAGTTAAGAATGCCATTTTGTGTTCCCTTTTTATGGCATTAAGATACTTTGCAACAGCATGCTTTTAACAGAATCTTTGCAAAACATTAGACCATATAGTTCATAGAAGCCAGATAATCAATATAGGCTTCTCGGAACCTTCAGCTTTAGCACTGAAAGGTTTAAAGTTTTGCTTTTATGGGGAAGCAACTTTCCTCAACATGTTTTCTTTTTTTTGTAACAATCAGAATTACCTGACAATCTTTCTTGTCTATTGACTGAATACATGTATGATCTGATTAACTAATTTCATTATCAAAATATTAAAACAAGGAGATGTGGTATGATTTCCAATGACACAGCTGTCCATCAGAGATCAAATGAATTGGATGTACGTAGCTATAGGTCACCGTATGGCCTACAACAATGAGCAAAAGCCAAACTGTATAGACAGCTATAAAAGGCCATGCAGACATGACAAAATTTAAAATAATTCATAAGAGAAAACCAAAAGCCTGATTTATGACAAACAATACAAGAAAAATATGGGACAGACAACAACCAACTACAACAACTACATTACAGGCTCTTGGCTTCGGACAGGCACATTGAGAACTAATGTGGAAGGGTTAAACATGTTTGTGAGTGCTCAACCCACCCCTAACCTGGGAAAGTGGCATAACAACACATCATTAGAACTAACTGTAAAAATAATTTGGAAACTCATCATATTGGAAAGAAGCACAAAAACAACTTACATAATGACATTAGACACAAAGTACAGATATACAATGTAAGAGTACTCACAGATACCATGAGCTAATTACAAGTGACTTAAAACTAATAAATAAACCATTTTCTACCAGAATAAGCAATGTTCTCTCTTCATGAATATACATGTACTATTTGTCACTGGACATGCAGCAAATAACAGTTAATCAGTTATGTTACCTTTGAAACTATGAGATTAAATTTCCTTTAATTTCTTTTATGAGATGGGTACCTTATATTCAAAGAATTTGTAATTGTTTTTTTTCCAGGTTCCTGAATCTCTTAAAAATAGTGAAGTTGGTGATCTTCTACACAGCATGATAGAACAGTCTCTAACTAATACATGCATAAAAGATAAAATGGAAAAACTTGAAAAGATTCTTGAAACTGAGTCTCATCATTATAAAGTAGAGATTGAAAATAAAGAAAGACAGCTACAGGAGCTTGAAAGTTTAAATAATACTCTACAAACAGAAAAAAGTGATAGAGAGATTAGATACACAACCACTGAAGAGACTCTGCAAGCACAAGTGAATTATTTGGGTGAACAAAACTCACAGACAGAGCACAAAATTGTAGAATTGAATGGAATCAAAGAAGCTCTTGAACATGAAAGATCTGAACTACAGAGGAACTTTTCAAATCAGACAGATGTCTTAGACAAAACTGTTCAAAACTGTGATAATTTAGAAAAGAAATGCAAATCTGTAGCAGAAGATCTCAAGAAAATAGAAGAACAAAATAAGCAATTAGAATCAGAAAATTGGTCATTGCAGGAAAAAATGATACAAAAAGAGAATGAACTGGTTGAGCTTCGTCAAAAGTCAGTCCGAGTAGAGGATGAATTTCAACAAAAACACAATAGTGAATGTAATCTTACATCAAAACTTCAAGCACAAATTGAAGAAAATGAAAGAACAATTAAAGAAATGAAGCATACTATTTCTGAATTAAACATCTCTGTTGCAGATAGCCATAAATCAGATGAGGAACATAGTATCAAAATTAAAGAAAGAGAAGCAGAAAATATAAAATTGTCAAATAAATTAACAACTTTTGAAAAAGATCTTAATGAAAAGAATGTGATTCTGCAGACGGAATCTAACAAACTTTGCACATCATTAAGAGATAATGCAAGTCTAGAAGAGAAGTTAAAGGATTTAAAAGAAAAGCAATTTGACCTAGAACAACAATTGGCTAATTGTGTCAAAGAAAATACAAATCATCAACGACAAAGACAAAAGGCATTAGATAAACTTGAAATTGAACGTCATACATTAAAAAAGCATTTAGAGGATGCTTTAAAAGATATTGAGTCTATAAAACAACAATTGACTCATACGTCTGCTGAACTAGATATTGCTTATACAGAAAAAGAAAAACTGGATTCTGAGAAAAATGACCTTATATTGAGACAAGATGAACTGGATGAAAAACTGAAACATTCAGAGGATGAAAATGAGATTCTTACAAAAGAGAAAATCGATTTGACAAATGAAATGAAAGAAATGACATCACTTAAACTAGTCTTAGAAAAAGAATTAGATACTTTTAAAGATCAGGTAGGAAATCTTCATGAGAAAGTTGAATGTTTGCAGATGGAAAAACAGAAGGGAGACAATGAAAAGCATGACTTAGAATTACAAATTGCTGAGTTGAACAAAGACCTGTCTTTGAAAACTGAAGAGATTTTCAAAGCACAGGAATCCAGGGAAAATGTGGAGAAGGAGCTTAATGAATTAAGGTTAAACTTTGAAGAAGGAAAACAGAGTACAGAATCTGAGAAAGAAAGGTTAAAGATTGAACATGAAAAAGAAGTAGAAGTTTTGAAAAGTGAATTATCTTCATTGCAGTTCCAGCTGAGTTCAGAACAAATCAAGTTTGAACAATCTTTGCAGGTAACTTTAATAAACCTTGATAATGATAGGCTATTTTATTAGTTTCATAATGCAGTAAAGGTACTGATAACATAATTTATCCATTTTAAAAAATTGTACCATAGTTTTTCTCCTGGAATTATAGCAACAGTAACAAAATAAACTCTTATAAGATGAAGGTTACCTAACAAATCCTTCCTAAAATAGAGATAAACCACTCTATTAGAAAAGTTTGGACACATGTATAAACAAGTAAAAAACACTTGATAAGAAAAATTTAGTTCTTACTCAAAAATAAAAATTTGAACAAAAACCTTTTCCTCCAACTACATGTAATTGGAAAAAAACTAAACCACAACTATTTGGGATTTATTGAAAAATAAGATTTTAAACACAAAGTAACTAGAAAAATATACTCCTGTCTATTGTCTATTGTTGAATACAGTGTGTTGGCCTCTAGATGTCTGTGGTTTTTTTTGTCATTGCATTGTTGTCTCATTGAGGCATACCCCACATCTCTTTCTATTCATTAAAATCATGTTACTATGTTTCATAATACAATGTGTGTAGCAGACATGAGGTTATGACAAGTAAGCAAAGTAAGTGATATATACATATGGTGTCTGGATAATATCCTTTTGATCATACACAGAGTTACTTCTAAACTAGAATACGGTCAAGACTCAACTAAATTTATTTATCTTTGTGAATGCCAATTTCAGGGATTGAGGAAAAACAATATTTTTGTGGATGCATGATTGCTTGATTTTAAAGAATTCTGTAAACAAGCCTATGGGAAATTTGTATATTGTTGAACACTTTTAAAGATCCTTGATTTAATGTTCCTATGAAATCTATGAAATGATCTGTATCTATATTTCCTTGACTGAACTTATACTTCTTTTCATTTTAACCTTATGATATTTTTTTTATTTCAGACATTTTCAGATCAGGATTCCAGTATTTCAGGTATGAAAGAGAAACAATCAAAGCAAGAAGAATTGATAGCAACACTAGAGCAAGAAATGTCAGAAATTAAATCTAACACATCATTGAAACAAAGTCAGCAACAACAGGAGGTAAGGTTAAAAAAGAGGTCAGATCTTCTCATGTTTATCTTGTGTGAATAAGGAATAACACAAATTATTAAACATTTAGTTATGTTCCAGTAGACAATGTCCATTTACTTTGGCTACTTTTGGGAAAACCCCCTTCAAAAAATCTTATTAGAAAAAATGGTGATTGACTGCCATAGTCTTGACTTAGAGCAAGTACTTTGAATCAAAGTTGTTGTTTGAGCCAGGTTTTAAAGTGAGCAAAACCTCACCCTTGCAAATAATGTATAAGATTGGACTCCATGTTACAGGTCTGTATAAATCCCATATAGACCAAGAAATCTCAGAAAAGAAATTTACGTTGACAGGATAGATAGGAGACCGAAAACAGACTACAAAAGCCTGATCAAACTTCTGTACAAAAAATATAACTTTTAAAAGGTCATATCAAAGCAATTCTACAAAAAAAAAATTACAAACTGTATGCGAAATGTGTTCCAAATAGAATGAGCTAAATGCTGTACATTATTTCAGTTTAACTATCAGTAATTCTCAATTTTTTGCAAAGAGCCAACCAATATAAACCAAATTCACATAACATAGGTGACTGTGGCTGATTCAAAACAAATAATAAAAGTATAAACCTAAAAAAAAAAATCAGCATTACTAAAGTAATGTTCAATATTTTTTTCAAAAACAAACCTGTACATGTGAGCATGGTATTTTAAGACCTTTTTTATTCTGTTTTCTGTATACCTGTATATGTTTGATTTAAAACATCTAATTTTAGCTTGAGAAACTAAGGTTGCTCATCAGTTCAATAGAGGAAGAGAAAAAAGACCTTACTTCTAAGCTCCAGGAGGTAAATACAGCATAAATAGACCATAGAAGTATCTGTAAATATTTCTTATTTCTGCATTCTCATGAATTATACTCAATAATACAATTAAATAATTTAATGCTTTATTAAACTTACTCAGAATATTTTCAAGAAATAATTTGAGGCTTGCAGACCATTATATTTCATCTGAAATTTAATTTTAAAATCAGAACTTTCAAGTGTTATTTATTAATGAACAGCATTTCACTCAAAATAAACGAGAAACCTTGATGATTGTATTTACCTTATCAAAAGCAGACTTCCTGATAATTCAAGTAAAGTCTGTTTTTATTTCATTTATAGGTTTCTCAAGATTTAGAAAGTCAAAAGTCATTGGTTCTATCATTACAGGTACAGTTATGTCAAATATATATGTAAAACATACTGTGGATTCAATAACTATGTAGTTGATATTTTATAGTGTGTCTTTCTATGTTGTGATGTTACACTATTGTTTCAGAAAAAGGGTGAAGGTTTGGTACCATTAGACCGTTGGTTTTCCTGTTTGAATGGTTTTACACTAGTAATTTTTGGGGCCCTTTATAGCTTACTGTTCGGTAAGCCAAGGCTCTTTGTTGAAGACCGTACTGTGACCTATAATGGTTTACTTTTATAAATTTTGACTTGGATGGAGAGTTGTCTCATTGGCACTCATACCACATCTTCTTATATCTAGATACCAATTTCTTGTAACCAAGGAAAAATTGAATTTTCCTGATTTTATTAAATTTTGTATACAATCTTAAAGGAAATTGGTAATTTGTTAAACACTTAAAGGAGTAGGTTCATGTAGGGCTAAAATTAGCCCTAAGATTTTATGTTTCTAAAATTAGGCCAAAATACTACAAATTTCACAAAAATATAGTTGTGATATTACAATGTACTATTAATGCAAAATAAGATTTTTTTAGCACCTCATATTATAAATTATGAAGTTATATCCCCTTAAATATGCATTATTTGTGTGGTAACATCTGTTTTGGTGCAAATTTTCCATAATTTAGGACAGTATTCAGCATATTTAACTTTAGCCACCATCCCCGATCCAGAAAATGTTTGTTTCTATGAATTTTATGTAAGCATAGGCACCTTTTTTTTGCAGAACATTTTGGATCATGGGTTGCAGCAATATAAACACTGATTTAAACAATGTCATAAAAAGTTGTTGAAAATTTTGTCAGAAATCAACTTTTAATGTTGGAATCAGTGTTTACATTGAACAGATGGAAAATATATTATTGAGTGTATTGAATGAATACAATATCACATAACAGAGTATTATTTAGATTAAGAGTTTATTAAGAATTCTAGAAAATTGGAAAGGTTTAGATCATGCAATGTTACTCCAGTGTTGTCATTACTTTTATTCTGAAAAAATGGCTTTCCTTTGACAACACACAATCTACTGTCATGAAAATTTTTTTTTTTTAAATTTAACATACTTACTTAACAAATGTATAAGGGAATTTTTTTTTCAAATATCACATTATTATCAACATGATCAACAACATTGAGAAAAAATAATTTCAGTTATACACCGTACTGAACCCTTAATGGTCAACATGTTTAATTATTTTATGAATACTTGTGGACATACATAGATGAGACAGCAGTATATTTATTTTTTGAAAATAAAAAAATGATCATTATTTAAATGAGATTCAATTCACACAATGCATTTATATGATGCAATTATATGATGCAAATGAATGCAATGATTTCACAGAGGATTTTTCTATCTTAAAAATCTATATGGAACTATTTCTTTATTTCTTGGTCTTGTCAGAATTGTGAACTATCATTTTGCAATTATAGTGCAGCTGTAAGAAAAAAATATACCGGTACACAGAAAACACTGAAAAATAATTTTTTAGTCTTACATTTCAGACAGGATAAATCTCAAACTATATTTCTCATAGACATATTCTTGTCAGTGATGCATAATTTAAAAAAGAACTTAGTACAAAAAAGTTTTATCCCTGACCTCGTCAAACCAACAAAATTAATGTGTTGTCTCTTGAATCTAATGTATACCAGTGTAATGGTCATGTTTGAGTTGCATAACTTCCGGCTTATTGTTCTTGTACCTGGAATATTAGAAATAAAGCTAACTCTGGACTGTTAGTGTAGTACAAATCAGGATACCCTCATTCAAAATAAACATATCTAAAATCCTTTTTTTTTTTTCATTAAAAAGTGAACAATGCAACAAGAAAGTGGTGAATGACTTAGTTATCTCCCATCCTGAGACAAAAATCACACTGATTATTGTTAATATCTTAACCTTTTCATTGGCTTCATCAACAAGTGACACCTCACAAAGAATTTGTAAATTCCTTTCTATTCAACTGATAACCTGTAACAGTCATTTTTACTACTGGTACTTACCTTGTAATGACATTGAATAGAAATATCTATCAAGAGCAGAATTGCTGTAAAGGTAAGTCTTTGTTGATGCATTATTATCAGGATAATATAATATGCACATGATCACAATAGTATAAAACCACAGTGCTGAGTGGTGACCATACATACATGATCACAGTGGTGTGACCATACAAACATGATCACAGTGGTGTGACCATACAAACATGATCACAGTGGTGTGACCATACATACATGATCACAGTGGTGTGACCATACATACATGATCACAGTGGTGTGACCATACATACATAATCACAGTGGTGTGACCATACATACATAATCACAGTGGTGTGACCATACATACATGATCACAGTGGTGTGACCATACATACATAATCACAGTGGTGTGACCATACATGTATGATTACAGTGGTGTGACCATACATGCATGGTCACAGAAGATATGGCCAAAGAAGAGTATGTGGCCAAAGGAAAGCCATTTTTTCAGAATAAAAGTAATGACAACACTGGAGTAACATTGCATGATCTAAACCTTTCCAATTTTCTAGAATTCTTAATAAACTCTTAATCTAAATAATACTCTGTTACATGCAGTTTTGTGAGTTGAAACATGTATTTTCATCTATTTAGAAGATATTTTTTTTACTCGGGTAAATTAATCAATGAGTGATGGGTTTCTCTTATAGTGTGTGATAACATTTTATGAGGGAATTCGATGTTTGCTAAAACCACAGTTCATTTCAACAAACTTTATGACAATACCACTATACCAATCAAAATGAATTTTTTTGCAGTGTTTTAAGAAATGAATTTACTTTGTATCAATGTATTATTTGTGAAACATTTAATGTTTTAAAAGGGCGAATTTTCTGTATAAAGTCAATAATTATGTAATTATAAGCCCAAACTTTCTTTTGCCTTAAATGCGCAAAGGAAAGATCCGAAACTTTACCAATACAGAACAACATGATTTTGAAATTTTAGCAAAATTTTTGGTTGTCAAATTTTTATTCGTTATTACAAAAAATGAACTTAAAATATCTGCCATTTTCTCCCTACTCAGTTTACCCCTATTACTTATTATGATGTGGACCAATCATTGTTATTGAATCTTACGCAATTTGATTGGATTAAGTTATTATTAGTTCCTTCAAACTGTTTATTTTTTTCATACATGTATATTGATTAAATCAGATCGTGCATGAATGTGTACAGTAACTTAAATGGCCTTCAAACTGGACATTGGACGAGTCCATATTATTTTTTAATCAATGAAACTAAAGGTATGAATTACCACTTCTTATATTTTCACAAAAATTTCCACATATATAGAAGATAAATTTTTTTTTAATAGCCTATTCCCTGAGAAACAATAGAAAATTTACAAATCAGATGTTCTATTCTATTAAACAAGTCTTTTTTTGAAGAGAAATGTCGAAATACATTTTACGCACGGCTACGCCAGGTAAAATCATTGTTTATCTTAACAAAAAAAACCAATTTTCAGTGTCATTATAATGTTATAATTACAATTAATCCCAAACAAAAGTAGTCAGTAAATAAAGTCAAAATATGTTTAATCTACCTATTTTTGGACATCAAAATTCAATATGATCGTTTTAAGGTCAATTTCGTCTACCTCAAAATGTTGTTAGGCACTATAGAAGAAATTTAAAGGTCCCAGTGAATAAACTACACAGAGAACAATAGCTATTTAATTTATTCAATGGGACAATAGAACTGACAAAAGTTTAAATAGATTGACCAATAGGAGATGACTCTGTGGAAAAGTTTCATATGGTTCGCAATGATAAGAGAAAAACGGAAAAGACCTTCACCAAAACAGACTCACGAATAATTGTCTTTGAAATGCTATATAGAGTTGATAGCTGAATCCAAGAAATTATCCCAATTTGAATCCCTCTTCCATTAGGCAAAGTTCCTTGTAGGTATCCCTTTTAGAGGCAGAGCTTGTCAATGACTCGCAATGATTGTGTTCAAATAAATAAACTTGCAAATCAGCTAAAAGATTTTGATGTAAAAGTTGTACAAGATAATTTATCAATATAATCAACGTTTGATACGGAGTGAGAATGTAAATTGCTTATTGAATGCTAGCATGATGATACAGCTGACACTTTCAAAAGCCATATAGAACCAGATGGCAATGGTAACATTAAAAATTAGTGGATCAGATTTGATCAGGGGAATCTGTTGCAAGTGGTATTCAATGTCAGGAGAGCAGAAGGTTGTGGTTTAGAAACATGGCCAGGTCAAACCAAGACTTTAAAATTGCTATTTGCTGCTTCTCCGCTTAGCATGCACCATTAAGGAGTAAGAGCAAAGACTGGTCAGCTCGAGCCAGAATAATGTGTTCGGGAAGGGTGAAATTTCTTTCTGTGGACTGTTACCTTGTGAAATAGCACATTAGAAATAAGGCTCAGTGTGTTGGTCAAGTACATAATAGGGTTAATTATCATATTACATTGACGTGTTCTTGTCCTGAATATGCATTTAATTTGACTCTGTACGTGAAACAGCCATTCATCATCATCAACAACGTCAGATATTAATGCAAAAATGTGACAGTATATGGCTCATATTTCCAGCTGGAATTTCCACTTTGGATTCAAAGGCCATTATCACAATGTATCATATAGGTAGGAAACAGGTTTTTTGGAAAATTTTGCCTTTCAGCATTCTTTTTATGATGTCAGAATTAACATATATTTCAATTTTCCACCAAATTCAATGAAAACAGGCTAATTTCTATTTTTTTTAGGACTGAAAACAGCTAGGGCATGCATCAACAACAAAATCGTTTAACATAATGTTTGTTTTAGCAAATAACCTATTTAGTTTGTGAATCTGTGCACTATATGTTTCCGAGAACTTTTTTGGATGTAGAGTTCAATGATTTGAAAAAAACATTTGACAAAAATTATTCTTTTTCAATTAATCCCAGATATTTTGCCACTTGAAACTATTTTCATTGAGAAATAATGGACTAAATGTTTGGGCTAAATAAAACCCTTATCATGTCTTCTAGAAACACACAATGACACTGGCAAACACAAACACACACTGTAAAAAGTTAATCATTTCATAATGTGTTATTTTTCACACAGACAAAATTGAAAGAGGGAGAAGATGAGAAAGAAAAACTCTGTACAGGTAAAGATAATGAAGTGGGAGAGCTCAAATCTGATATCCAACAGCTGAAGAAAAAAATTGTTAAACTAACCAGGTAAACTTAATTCGTTCTATCTACTGTGAATTCATTATTATTTGTGGATTATTAATTTTAGTGAATTTCATGGTTATATGTGATTTGGAAATAAAAATGTAAACTTAGTGTGTTGTCCATTTTCACTGAACTTGTACACAATTTTATTTAGGGGCCAGCTGAGTACCACCTCCGGGTGCGGGATTTTCTCGCTGCGTTGAAGACCCATTGGTGGCCTTTGGCTGTTGTCTGCTATTTGGTCGGGTTGTTGTCTCTTTGACATATTCCCCATTTCCATTCTCAAATTTATTAGAATTGAAGTATTTATTAAATTACAAATTTCCTATAGAAAATTTTCTGCAGATACTTAATTTCATGGTTTTGACAAAGTATTTATAAAAAGGAACTCCCAGCTCTAACTGTGTTACCCTTGTGTTATAATTTAAGTGCTTTACATGCTTACAAACTTAATTTGTAAGTCTTTATTGTGTGTTTATGGCAGGACAAAAGTTACTTTGAAATTCTATTGTCCACAGACAGGCAATATTTATGTGGTCTACTAATATCCAATTTTTGTTGTATAGAGATAAAGACTCATTATGGCAAAAAACAGACCAGTTATCATATGAGCAAAAATTACAGGCAAGAGATAAATGGTTGGATGAAAAAGATATAACACAGTGTATGCAATGTCGGACAGACTTTAGTTTTACCGTTAGAAAGGTATATTTTAGACTTTACAGCTTTAAAAAATAAAAATTGCGTAATGTACAATATTATTAATATATTAGAATAATTTAATTTTGGATGTAACACGTCTTCTGATTGGCTGAAAGTGTTTTGTCTATCAGCTCATAGACATAATTTTGTGATGTGACGGTGACGGTCGTCACCAACGTTTTTTTCAAAATTTACTCCTTAAAAATGGAATTTAGAATTAAATTATAAGGAATGACTAATATTTTTTCTGTCTATTCGAAATAACCTAAAAAATGTGGTGCACACTTTTAAATAAGCTGCTACACTGGTTATTCAGTGTGCACCACATTTTTGATGTTATTTCTTCATAGACAGAAAAAATATAACAGTCATTCCTTAAATGTCTCCAATGAGTTGTATGGCAATTTTCAATGCCCCATCCCCACTTTTCAAGTCATCATATTTGTTATGTTTTTTAGGAGATTATGAACTATCTTTTTGTGTTATTGTCCCTTCTGAATAAAAGGAGATACCAAACAAACTATCAGTGAATAGACATCTGGAGGTGAACATAGTTTATTAAACGATAGACCATTGTCTATACAATATGTCAAGATGTTTAAGTCACCCATAGTTTAGGAAAAGTGTGAATAAATTTAACAAAGATTATCAAAGATCTGCCATACACATAATTCTTTAAAGGACAATCTTCCTTAAGATACATTTCTATGAATAGAAATGTCAAGAGACAATGTTCCTTACTAAAGACAGGCACATGAACATTTGGCAGGGTCAGGCTAGTCTTTAGTAATCAACACTCCACTTTATAAGTGCAATCAGAGAAATATGAAAAACCATCTAACTTTTTAATACTGATATAATAGACAACTATATCTATATACTGTCAATTCAGAAATTATTGTGATGTTTTTATTAATACAAAAATGTGACAATATCAGGTTGCAATATTAAAAACTTGCAGTCTCAATTTCAGTATTGATTTACTTCATAACTTTTTTGCAATTACATCAAAATAAGATTTCACATTTTTGCTAGAGGTCAAGGATTCTCAATAATTAATGCACACATTAATTTCTGAATTTACTGTTCTTAACTCTGATGTCATAGAATTGGATATTTTATAATTATGTGCACCTTAAAAATTCATTTTACCACTCTTGTTTATATCTTTTATTAGAGTTACTTTTTTTTATTGTGAGATGGTGGGTTCACATTTTGCTACAGTGTAGTATCTTGTTGTAAAAAAAAACTTTTACAAAAATAAAAAGTTCCATTTCTAACTGAAGAAGCCAACTCTTTGATTATAATCTTTTCAGCACCACTGTAGGATTTGTGGAAGAGTGTTTTGTTATCAGTGCTCTGACAACTGGATGCAGACAGCACACAGCAGGTAAGATAACAATAGATTACAAATATGGGTGGATAATTTTGTATATATACATACAATATTTCTTGTAAAAAAGTAATATATGACAGAATTTCATGCCCAACCTTTGATTGTAATGTCATTTAAACTCAGGATTTTTTTAAACACTTCAACAGCAAGTTTACAAGCATGATATACTTACTTATCCAGTTAAAATGGTTCTTTCTTCTTATTTCTTCTTATGGTCTAACAATTTTAAATACCTTCTGGCCTCTCACAAATACTGCCAATTTCCTATTTCCCTTAATTGTGACCTCACGGAAAGAGATCCATCACCAAATTTGAGCTTGTCATGAATAACACTAGATCTGCCATGGGAAGTAAGATCTGCATACCCTTCTGTAGCACCTGAGAACACCCCTATTGAAGTCATCATCTGTTAAATTTTACAAAAAACTTCTCCTCTGAAACTTCTAGGCCATACAGATAGATATGACTACAACTTTTTATTCTGCATTTCATCATTTTTTTAATCACTGGTATATTAGAACCATCTATCTATCTCTTTAAAAATATGATAAACTTTTGACAAGATTGTTTTTTTTTAATTATATCCAAAGGCTAATGAATCAGAGGTAAGACCTTTTTTTCAATATTAGAAAATACTACTGTTGCTTAAATAATTTCAATTTCTGTGCTGTATCTCTCAATTTTCAAATTAATTGTTTCTTCTTACAAGAAAAATTGGAAAACAAAATTTGGGGAAAGAAATTATTTTTGGTATCTTTTTATTTTGATTGCTTCGGATAATGATATTACATTGTTTCATAAACATGCATCTAGGTAAGCTTCTGCTTGCATATGCTTTCTAGTCTTTGTGGTACTGATACTAAAATTGACTGGAACAGTTAGAATTTGCTTTAGATGCATATTTATGCAAAAAGTTTTATGCTAGACCTCTAAGTATTATGAAAAGGACTATCTCAACTGCATACATAAAACAGTTTCATATAAAATCTTGTGTGAAAAGCATATGCCTTAGCTTGTTGAACTGGGATAATGTCTACCAGTTGTTAGTTCATTTAGTGTCAGTTGTTATAAGGACAGGTGCTGATGTGAGATTGAAACATTTATGTTATTCTTATTCATTAAGAAAATGGACTTTGTCTTAATCCCGTTTGGTATTTGCAATTGAATGAATTAAATTATGGGTTCTCCCTCTCAAAACACCATGCATTGCTATACAGTCAATGTTCCTTAAACACTAAAAGGTTCCTTGATCTTTGTTCAGATAAATTTTCAGATGAGATCTGATTTGAAATGAAGCAATTTAACCAAACAAGTATACAAGTTACCCACACATGCTTAGTGATTCAGAATTTTACAATGTTAAAATGTCAAGTTTTCTCATTAGGGTTGTTAACAATGATTAAATGTGATAAACCAATGATATTTAGAGTGCTGTGGCATGTAGCAACACTTTTGTTGAATGTTTTTTAATTCTCCTTAAAATCTTTTTTCTTTAACTTTCCGGTTTTTAACTCGATCTCAAATGTGATTTATATTCTAAGAAATGCTTAGTTTATTTCTTTGTGTCAAATTTAAGTTGAAATCTAAAACAGAACAAGGTTCATTTGAAAAATGCCATTGGTTCCAGTTTGCTGGTGATCACTGGCAAAACCACTTTCTTTTACCCTCTTCAATATTCAAAGGAATGCTTCTAAGGACAACAAGGATATTGACCATGATCCCAGATTAATGAAGGCATTAATTCTTAGAAAATAAAACTTCCTTGGTTTGTTTCAAAATCATTTATTTCCATGTTTAACAAAATTGTAAATGCAAACAACTTTAATATTAAACAATCATAAATTACAGTTCACAGTGCTAGTATGGTGAAGTAAGCTTTTCACTAAAATTGGCTATCAAAAATACAGATGAACCACAGGTTTTTTTTTTAAATGAAAACATCTGTTTTTGCTAGGATTTCAATGAACATCAAATAGGTTTTTATGATTTTCTATTCTGAATTGATTCACTGTGTCAAAAATTATTTGTTGCCCACCATTTACACAATGGCTGCCAAATTACAAAGTACTAGGATTTAAACAACATATCCTGAATTAATTCTTGGTGTCAAAATTTACAAAAAATGTGATAACCCATAAAAATGAATTGAAAATTAATTATTTGTCTCTGTACCTCACACGAAAATGTGCAAGCAGGGCCTTTGCTGGCTTGTCAGTTTTCTAGTCATAATTATGCCCCCACTGTAGGCAATGGGGGCATTAAGTGTTACCCTTGACACGTATGTTCGTCTTTCCATCCGTCTGTCCATTTGTCCACCCAATTTTTTGTTTCCGCACTCTAACTTAAGTTTGCCTCATGCAAATTTTTTGAATTCGTACACAATACTAAGAATCAAAACTAGCAGACAGAGTTCAAATTTGGGCAGTGAGTCATTTACCGTTCAAGAGTGATGCCCCTTTATAACTTGAAAAATGGCAAATTTTTTCGTTTCCATGCTCTAACCTAAGTTTGTCTCATCCAAATTTTATGAAACTAATACACAATGCTAAGAACCACAACATGCAAACAGAGTCCTGCTTTGGGTTGTGAGTCATTTCCTGTTCTAGAGTTATGCTCCTTTTTAACTTGGAAAAGTGCAAAGTTTGAATGGGGGCATTTAAGTCCTCAGACATATTATACTTTTATTTTGGTTATGATTTAGATCAAGGTTTTATTTCATGCTGTCTTTTTAAAATATTTTCTAGTAAAAAATCTAGAGCATGTAGGATGTGCTTTGAAAAAACAAAGCAGCTAGAAGACGATACTTTGAAGTCTAATAACAGTGAGAATGATTTTGAGGACACAGTTGAGATACCAAAATTACATAAGAAGAGAGGAGTCATGAATGAAAGTGATTCATCAGCCATATCAGGTAGGTGAATCTACAAACCAATGGTACATCTTAGTCACATGTCACTTATTCATCAAACTGACCTTAAATTAGTTAAATGTAAAAATAAGAAGATGTGGTATGATTGCCAATGAGACAACTCTCCACAAGAGACCAAAGAGACCAAATGACATAGAAATTAACAACTATAGGTCACTGTATGGTCTTCAACAATGAGCAAAACCCATACGCATAGTTAGCTATAAAAGGCCCCATAATGACAAATGTAAAACAATTCAAACGAGGAAACTGATTTATGTACAAAATAATGAATGAAAAACAAATATGGTATTCAGCAACAAACTACAACCACTGAATTACAGGCTCCTGACTTCGGACAGGCACATACAGAATGTGGCGTGGTTAAATTAGTTTGAAGGCGCCAACCCTCCTCTTACCATGGACAGCGTAAGAACAAACTATAAGAATCAGTTGAAAAGGGCTTAACTCATTAGATCGATACATAGCAGAAATACATCTAACAAAAACACAGGATTAATAATCTATTAGGGGAAAACCATGGAAAAAGTTGAACCATTTTCAATAAAAATGCTCAGAAATGTATGTCTCCTGTTCATTTGTCCTTATTTTCAGCAGTTTTGTCATTTTTTGTGTTGTTTTTGCTTGCTCACCATAGGAGTGGAAAATTACGTTTTACGTTCTGTGCGTGCCTATCAATGTTTGATAATTCTTTTTATATATTGTTTTTTTTTTAGATGTAACCCAGACATCAGACAGTCAGTCTGATGACACAGGTTCCATTGTCATCCCAGGTCAGGTGGCATCTGCTATTACTGTATCAATGGTAGAAGGAAATATTACAGATGAGATTAAAGAAAAACAGTATGTAATGATTTTTTTCCTAAATATTACTTCAGCAGATAAAGTATGAGTGTTAAATATGGAAAAGAGACTGCTATTTTTCTGGAATAAAAATCTCTTGCTGACTTTTAATCTTTAAAGTACCAAACTTCTATGTAGAGCAGGATCTGCTTACTCTTCCAGAGCATTTGAGATCACCCCAGGTTTTTCTTTGGGGTTCGTGTTGCTCAGTATTTAGTTTTCTATGTTGTGTTTTGTATACTGATGTGTGTCTTTTGATCTTTTTTTGTTTTTTTGCTGTGGCGTTGTCAGATTATTTCGACTTATGAGTTTTAATGTCCCTTTGGTATCTTTGCCTCTCTTTAAAAAGTTTCACTGTATGTAAAAGGATTAAAGTATGATAATTTTCATGTGTTGTGACCAAATTCCTTGCTCTCCCAGTATTTACCTTAATTAGGGCCCCGCCGAATGGCGGACGCCCTATAGTGATCAGTCCGTCCGTAACAAATTGTGTCCGCTCTATATCTAGAGAACTGTTATGATTTCAAAGTTTATACTTGACATGTATATTAACCAACACCAGAGGGTGTGGCATAATGTATGTACAAATTCCTAGGTCAAATGTCAAGGTCAAAAACTTTGGTTTTAGTTGACAACCCAATGTCCTATGGTAAAGATCGTGTCTGCTCTATATCTTGAGAACCGTTATGATTTCAAAGTTGATACTTGACATGTATATAAACCAACACCAGAGGGTGTGTCATAATGTATGTACAACTTCCTAGGTCAAGGTCATAAACTTCGGTTTCAGTTGACAACCTCATGGCCAATGATAAAGATACAAATTTTTTACCACACATTATTCGCAGCGGGGTCCACAGAGATGGCTCCCATCTCAATGATATCTAGTTGCCTCAAATTCAGATGTTTAAGAGATTATGATAAAACAGGATAAGAAAAATGTCCAGCTGGCTTATTATTTATTTATAAGACCTTGTATCCAGGATTTAGAATCTTAACATTAAATTAAAGGAGAAGAATAAAGTTGAAAATCCTTAAGAAAAGGGAAAGAAATATGGATATACACACACATACACATACACATACACATACACATACACATACACATACACAAAGCAAGATAAACCAATAAACTAGAATTGAACATAGTTAATCAATTATTTAGTTTATAAGAAAATGTATCAATCATATAATTTATTTCAGAAAAGATGACCAATTCCATCTGATCTCAGATGAAGAAGTATCAAAATCACTGACAGAACCTCAGATCAGTCCTCTTCTTTCAACTGATCCAAAGTAAGAATATAAAATAAGGAGATATGATATGATTGCCAATGAGACTATTATTTAACAGAGTCAAAATGAAGCAGAAGACTGCTTTTGATGATAACTTCAAAGCAGGAAAGACACATGTCTGTATTAGCAGTTGAATTCAGTTTTAAGTAACTATTGGAAAGGGCTGAATTTAGGTGTTAAAAATAGTATGTCTGCATTTCTGTCAAAATTGTCTGTTTCAAAAAGTCAGTGTAAATGTGAAGTCTGTAAGTAAAAAAAAATACTATTTAATTTTTGTATTGGTATCTTACCTAGCAAATGTCCTGGAATGTACCCAAGCTTATTTTTAACTATTTGGCAATAGCATTCAATCTTTCAGGAATCAGAACTATGAAGTTGTACCAACTATTTCAGGAAAAGTAATATTTTATTGCAATAGTGATTTCCTTGCCAAATTGAGGTCATTAGCCCCACCAACTTGTGGTAAACATGTTCCTGTTAAATAGATTAATTTTTAAGCTCCACCTAGGGGCATTATATTTTTCAGTCTGTGCATCCATCCGTCCGTTCATCCATCTGTCCCGCTTCAGGTTAAAGTTTTTGGTCAAGGTAGTTTTTGATGAAGTTGAAGTCCAATCAACTTGAAACTTAGTACACATGTTCCTTATAGTATGATCTTTCTAATTGTAATGCCAAATTAGAGTTTTGACCCCAATTTCACGGTCCACTGAACATAGAAAATGATAGTGCGAGTGGGGCATACATGTACTATGGACACATTCTTGTTTATATTAAATGCATGGAGAGTTTGCACTATTTCACTAGATTCTTGCAAATTGAAGTATAGTAATAAGTTTTCTTGTAATTTTGGAAGTCACAGGAGGTAATATTAGAAGTCATTGAGTCATTCATAGGAAATCTTTAGGTCCATGAGTATATAGCAATTTGTCTGATATTTGATAAATTAAATGAAGAGAAAGGAATTTTTATATTTGAGGTACATCCATTTACTAATATATTAGTGGGTCTGGATGGGGTTTACAGAATAGAGAATAATGGAACCAAGACACACAAAAAATAGGCAAAAAATATAAAGAATAGAGAAAAATAGAGAAAAATAGGCAAAAGAAAAAAAGAATAGAGAATAATGGGGTTTAAAAATATAAAGAATAGAGAATGATGGGCAAAAAATATAAAAAATAGAGAAAAAAATGACCTGAAACATTAAAGAATACAGAAATGAAGGACCTCCTATCCAGACCCTCATATAAAATTGTTTGTATTTTATCCACTTTAAAAAAAAAATGGCCTAGATTAATAATAAATCTGCTTGTTTGATGGAATTTTTGTTTACTTTGAAGTATGACCTCCAGTATGACCATATCAACAACTGACCTTGAGAAAGGAGAAGTTAATAGTCAGAATGAAATATTGATAAAGCCTGGTAAAACATTTTCTGTACCTGTCATGGTAGATCGTTTTAACACAACTCTTTGTTGGGAATTTAATTCTCATCCAAAGGTAAGATTTGATTTTTTTTTTTTTTTTGTTTTTTTGTGTTTTTATGCCACTTTTAAGCACCGCTTTTGGGCTATTTCGTGGCGGTCAGTTTTAATTGGTGGAGGAAGCCGGAGTGCCCGAATTAGTTTCTGAAGACTATACAATTGTTTTGGCCATCTTATTTACTTGCAGATTCATGCTTTCCCCCCTCTCTAAGCACAGCCAGTAGGAATTGATACAGGAAAAAGAATTATGCAGATTAAAAGTTGTCCTGTGTTTTAAATTATCCTTCATAGAAAGGGCCATAAGAACTGTCAGTCAAGTGTATATTTACATTCCAAATTGAGTGCTGAGAAATAATTCGTTAAATTTTATTTTAGAATATTTTTTTGGTAACAACTTACATGCAAGAAATCTATTGTGAGAAATATAACCACTACAATAGATCTTAGCAATAGACCGTAAAGTAACATTCAGGATACGCCAAAACACAGTACTTTGTTCTTCTACTGAACAAAACTTTGTATAGATGTTTCAAATAGTATTGACTAAGTAATATTTTTTATACCCCTGCTTTGAAAGGAGGGGTATACTGGTTTTAAATTACTTCATTCTGTCCGGCAGCCCATTCCATAAAATTGTTGTCACGTTTTTCTCAGGACCTATAAATCAGAGCTTCCTGAAATTTGGAATCAAGCTTTAAGTAAGTATGCTATACTGTTTGCCATTCATAGATTTATCGCTAATTCACTTCCTGTTTACTTAATACTTAAATATTCTTAAACATAATGGCAATGCAAGAATTTTCATCACATTTTTTTTATCAGGACCTACTACAAATCAAGGCTTCCTGAACATAGGAACGCATGTGTGCAAGCTATACTATTTGATGTTTTTTCACATACTATGCTCACAAATTTCCTGATTACCAAAATTACCATAGCAAGTTTTTATTTTTGTGAAACCTATCTTATTGCAATTTTTGCAATAATAAAGACATCGCAAAAATTTCTGAATTTACATAAGTCTAGACCTATCTATGCCAAGGGGATTCCTATTGTATAAACATGTGATTGTGAAAGTTTTTGAAAAAGAGACATTTATGATATTAATAGGAAACAGATTATTGTTAAAGATCATCTGGACTTTCATTTTAGGATGTTGTCTTTGGTGTACATTACCAAACAATGACTGGATCTAGCAGTGAAGTGTTGATACCACCATGTAAAGTAGACTCCCATAAACAGTATGTCAAAGGAGAACTAACTGCCAAACAACTGGGAATTTACTCACTTATATTTGACAATACATACTCAAGGTATTAGAACAAATATGAATACAACATGAAACAGTTTTAGACACATAAACACATGTCCGGAATAAAGATATCATAAAGGTTTTCTAAATTTCTTAGAAATTATGTCTTATTGTGGAAGTATGATTCCACCTGCAGGAATGAAATGATATGTGGTATTTCACACCTGGCATTTTAAGATAATATTATTTATAAAGCTAAAAAGTAAGGAGTTGCCATCAATTTTTGACTCAATAGCCTTCCTGATTATAGCTTATGGTTTAATCATTGTGTTTTGGAATTGTTTCGATGAACTTCGGTTCACTAATTTATAGTTTAATAGAGGTCTAGAGTTTTTCCTTCATTTAAAAAAAAAAATTGAAATTTTGTAATTTATTTTGGGCATTGCACACAATACTGTCTTCCTGTCTTGTTTATGAATCCCCTGTATAAAATCTACTCAAAAATGCAATCTATGTATAAAATCTACTCCAAAGTGAAATCCTTGTATTAAATCTACTCCAAAGTGAAATCCTTGTATAAAATCTACTTTAAGGTAGCACTACAGTCAGAATTTTCTGACTCCAACCAACAGTCTTTAAAGATTAATTTCTCCAAAACTACTCAATGGATTTTTAAAATCTTTAACTCATTTTAAAGCTGAAATATAACTCTTTCTTAATCTATAGATAAATTTATTTTTGGTATGATTAATCTCAAAATATAGCTCATTAATTGCCAAAAAAGTGGTCTTCCAACTTGGATGAAAATGGCACATTCAGGTCAAATGGTAGTAAAAATTTGTTTTCATCCCTTTAATTAACCATTCACAATCTACAAAACCGTGTCTCAGATTTTTGATATATGCCTCCAGTAATAAGATATATTATTTTTACTGCTGGATGCCAAACCTCATTTCACCTTTCATCTTTGGAGACCTATAAATTCATTTAGAAACAAATTATCCAAAAACTGGGACACGGTATTGTAGAAAATACTCCCTTCAATCACATATATCAAAGTCAAGCCAAAGGGGGTACCCATAAAGTTTCTATTTTCATTTTTTCCTTACAATTCTCATGAAAAATTGTTCTGAGAAATGACCTTCAAACTGAATTTCCTCTTAAGAACCCCTATAAATGCCACATAAATACAAAAATTCCACTGGGAACACCCCAGGAGTGTTCTGACACCATTATTTTATCAATAGAACCACACACATTGTGTCTTTGATGCTCTAGTGCTGTAAAATTTGCATTTTGTGTGCACTGTATAACACTAACTTGGCATTTGGCGGGAGTTTGACGTCACAGATTTGACCAACATCTGTGATGTAGTAAGACAAAGCTCCGCCTCTGTCCAGACAGTCTAAGATAAGAGAATAACAGGATTGTCCAGCTGCATCATAATTAATATTTAACATCATTATTCTCACTATAAAGAATAATTTTCATTTGAATTTTAAAAAGAAATATAATATGACCATGATGACTGAAATTAGCTATAAAAGATCAAGACCATCCCCTTCTTGAAAATAGACTGTCCAACATGATTTATGAGTTTCATGGAATTAAAAAATTTCACATAAACTTAAAATTAGTTAAAATGCCTAAAATTATTTTTAAATGTAGAAGACCAAAGACGAGAAATTTATACAGGCAGTCAGAGGCTTTCAAAGATACTTTCACACTCTTTTCCATAGTTTTTTTTTCTTCATTTTGGTAGATTTTTTCTCTTTAAATGTTTTCCTATTCATATCTTTTTCTTTTTCTCTGTTCTAAACTTCCATGTTTTATAAATTAGTTTTGTTGCAATGCAATGAGATATTTATCTTGTGGTCAGGGATTAACAGCTGGACACTGGTATCAACAGATGATTGACATATTAGCCCCTCCCAAATGCCTATATAGATGGATTAATTACATGTGCTTTTATTTACATAAGTTCATTCTCAATTTACTCCCTGTTGTGATATGATAATGACTTTGGGATTTTTACAAACTGTGCAGAATAATACTTATTTCAAAATTATGTGATAAAAAAAATATCTTCAAAAAATCATTGTTAGACTGTAGTGCTACCTTAAAGTGAAATCCCTGCATAAAATCTACTTCAAAGTTAATTCCCTGTATAAAATCTACTCCATAGTGAATTCCCTGTATTTATCTACTCCAAAGTGAAATCCCTTATAAAATCTACTATGTACTGCCTCTGATATTAAGGTGACCTCTAGATGACTTTTGTTTTTGTTGCTGTTAGGTTACTGTATCATTGATTTTTACCCCACATCTTCATTTATTCATATGTTAAAAAAAATCACACTTCTGGGCAAGCTTTTGACACATAAAAAAAAGTTATTGTACATTTGACAAGAAATGGAGTGAATGTGCATGACACACAACAATCAATACTAGGAAAAAACAAACATATATCAAAGAGATAGCACTTTTATGGTGTTCTTTAACAGAACAATTACTTGGAAGTCTTCAACAATGAACTGACTTCTTTAGACAGATTAGCACAGCTTTTAGCATCAGTTTAAGAAGTACACTGTCTGAAGTGAATATGCTAAATTGGTAAACTCATAAGACATTATCTTATGATAAACATGCTATAACTGGAAAGGATCATACAACTTAAACGTGAGAACATGTCTCACTTCTATATTTCTTTTGGTATATAGTGGAAATATGTACCGGTACTATTTTCTGAAGCTGTCAAATACATACAACTGTATTTATTATGTTTTTTTTTGTGTTAATCCAATCGCAGTCCTTTTGATAATAATAAAAGATGTAGAATGAGCTTGCTAAATTGATCACATTGCAAGTACATGTAAATCTTTTCTTACTGTTTTTTTCTTCACATTGTAGGTTTACTGCAAAGAAGATTATGTACAAGTTGTGGTCCAATAAAGGCAAATGAAAAGAATTCCTTCAATAATGAATAAAATATTGATATAACATTTATATATCATACAGGAATATATATCATTTTGTATGCATATTTTTCTATGACATTGTGGGTGGGGTTTAGAAAATTAAAGAAATCATTAAGAAATAACTCACAAGGTTAAAATTATTGCTCAGAGGAAACAACTGAAAATCCATCATCTGAAAACACCAGAAATTTCTTTGTCTTATCCAAAATAAAAAAGAATAGTACATCTTCTTATGATAACAAGGGGCCTCGGTGAGGTTGTGAGTTCGAACCTAGTGCATTGCAGATGTGCTTGACTCCAATCTTAATTGACAAGGATTGTCAGTTTTTCTGCCGAAGATCGATGGTTCTCTCTGGGCAATCCAGCTTCCTCCATCAATAAAATTTACCACCATGAAATAGCCAATAGTGCTGAAAGTGGCATTAAACACCAATCAATAAGTCAATCAGTATGATGATAAGTATTGAAGTAAAAATGACTTTTAGAAATAAAAATAATTACCTCTGACTTACGGAAAAGTAATGTAAAAAGGAAAGATCATTTATTTGTCTCTTCTGCATTAATTAAACATAAAAAACATTTTACACAATTAAATTTGAAAAATAATCAAATAAAAGATATGGTTATGTACATCCCAAGCCTTTTCAATATTTGTTTTATTTCAGAATAATTACATTAGATGTATGTTTCATTATAATACGTTATTCTGATTGGCTAACTGCAATCTCGCATTATTCCTTAATCAACTTCATTTCAAAATGAATTGTAACATTCATGATGACACATGCTTCTACAATAAAGTGCACAGGTAAATAAAAGAAAAAACTTGATAGTAATTGTATTTTCATGATCATAGCGAAGAAATGTACTTATAAGTATTGAATGCTTCTTTTAGTAACTTCGTAGGGTTGTAAAAGCTTTGACCGTACGTACATTTTTAGAATGAAGCGCTTCATACAAAATGGACTTCGGTCAACACTTTTACACCCCAATGAAGTTACAAAAAGAAGCATTCAATACTTGAATAATCCTATAAGTAAAATCGGCTATGAAATAAGGAATTCAACATAGTAAAATCTGTTTTATTAGTTATACTAAAACATAAAACTGCCATATTTTAACAAATTCAGTTTCAACTTCCTTGGAGTTTGGTATTTTTGTTATTTTGCTTTTTACTACTGTCAATCTATGTTAAGGTTATAGATTTGTTTAAAAGTTTTATGAACTGTTTTCAAGCAAAGCTACTTTAGTACAATTTTCATAGTTTGCACAATTATTAATTTTGAAGACCAAAGTGAAAGTGATATATGAGAGTCTGGATGAGGGTCCTTCATTTCTTTTCTTTTTTTATACCATTTTTCTCTATTCTTAATTTATTTTGACTTTAATTCTCTATTCTTTGTAATTTAGCACCCTCCTTTATTATTTTTCTTTTTTTTTTGTGTCCTTTATTCTACACTTTTTGCCCATTTTTCTCTATTCTGTAAACCCCATCCAGACCCTCAAATATAATTGCAGCAATGAGACCATCAGCTAAGTGATGATATGTAGTAATGATCAGAATCATTTCGGCGTATGTGGCTGATACATTTTTACTATTCGCTCTTAAAATCCAAACTAATATAAAAGAAAATGTATATTTTAAATGTCAGGTAGATCATGGCATGAATTCCATAAGTCTGTAATATCAGAACAAAATTGAAGAGTTCTTTTCATGTTAAATTCATGAGTTACAAGCAGTTAGAAATATTCGAATATAATTTTTTAAGTCATTTTATCGACTGGAATAGAAAAAAAGTATAACAAAAACACTGAAATCCAAGGTAAATTCAAAAAGGGGAAGTCCATAAAAGATGACAAAATCAAAAGTTATCAATCAAAGGAACAAGAGAAAAACAACTGTCATAATCCTGACTTGGTGTAGGCAATTTCTGAAGAAAATTGTGGGTTAATCCTGGTTTTATAGCTAGCTAAACCTCTCACTCGTATGGCAGTTGTTAATAGTTCCATTATATTGACAAAATTGGGTTACCAACCCAACAAGACATAAACTGATAACTAATTGATTCCCTATCAGATTTTATCACTAGCATAAAAAGGGTCATGAATAAGACCATGACAAGAGAGACAACTCTGCATGATTTTGAAAGGAAAAAAATGTTTGTTGGCAAAAAGATGAGTAAAAAGAAACTATCCATAGGTACCTTGTCATAAGGATGTAATTTCATCGGTGAAAATAAATATATAATTGTTTAAAGTGTCAAATAGAACTTTCATTTGTTAAAGGGAGTTAATCATATCCTGATTTAAAAATTCTTTTTTCAAATCGGCAGACAATGGCTTTATAGTTGAAGGCAGCTTTTGTATAGTTTACACATATCTTTGAGCTTGATGTTTTTAAGAAATAGTAATTGATTTAAAATTATATAAATCGTAAAATATTTGTTTTTTTGAAAATGTTAACATATATGATCTCAAAATATCAACAAAAAACTAAAATTGTCAATAAAAAAGATTTTTGTTATATTTCTTTGTATAGATTTGAATGTTTTTTTAAATTACAAGTTTTAAAAATGTTCTATTGGTTATTTTATAATTGTACAATTCATTTTTTTAATTTGAGAGAACTGCATTGTATTTTTAGAATGTTTAGATTATGCTGCTTTCTAATATATTTAAGTTTTATTCAGCATTGTATAAAGGTCTTTATTATATACTTAGTAGTCAATACAGATAAATTGTATGTGTAATACCGTCAACGGCAATCGTGCTGTATCAGCCATCCATGATGATGTCGATATCAGTCAAGGTTGCAAAGGCTTTATCACACCTTTAATCTGTATGACGTCATGTCATCGATATCAGTCACGGCTGCAAAGGCTTTATCAAACCCCTAATCTGTATAACGTCATGCCACATAAAAACATCTACTTGAGGTATATAATAAAGTGTATATGATATGACTTTTTCAACATCACACACCGTATCAACCCTCAACCAATATAATCCCTTGAGCAGAACTCTTTGGATTATATTGGTGATACGGATGTGATATTGAAAAAGCCATATGATATTCTCTATTTGATGCTGTTGCTTAAGTAGAAATGTTTTCATTCTAATCCAAAATGTTATTTTTACCATCATGCTTTTTTTTTTTAAAAGAAAATGCAATTTAAGTATATTACATCATTGCTTATATGTAAATTTTATTTAGTGATTTTTTTTGTAGATCTTGTATTTTGTCATTTTTACTGTTTACAGTTTATACCTGTCTATTCAAGTTTTAGAGATAATTGGCAAAATTTAAAAAATAAGTAAAAAATATTGTCATTTAAGGACAATAAATCCTATGAGGATTTTGACAATTTAGCCTTGTTGACATTTTGTAGATGTTTTTTGCTTGTTAAGGTTTCTATCTACTAGGTTTTTTCGACAAAAATGCAAGAATTGGGTAAAAATCATCATGCAATAACTCTTAAAAGGAGTCGGTTGACAATTTCTGCCATCTTATTTTGCTTTGATATTTATCATTTTTCTCTAAATGTTATAGTAGCCATAAAAAATGTCAAGAAAGGTAAAAATTATCTTTCAAGGACAATAGTTCTTATAGGGGGTTTATTGATGATTTCATCAATGTTGATTTAGTTGTAGATCTTATTGTTCGGGTCATTTTTACTGTTTAAAATATCTTTTATAGTTTTCAAGGTAATAAAGAAAACTTTAAAAGTTGCAAAAAGTTGACATTCAGTGGCAATAACTTCAAACTGGGTTGTCAAATTTTTCTGAAAATCTATGAAGATATACATGTACCTGCTGATAATTTTTAGCCCAGTCAGTTTTGCTCTAACTGCTTTAGTTCTTTGGATATAAGCCCAAAATAGCATTTTATGCCCTATTTTCTTTTTCTAGCAACAGTGGCCATGTTTGTTGATAGATCAAATCCCTGGATACAATTTTCAAACAAGTTACCATAAGGAATATTCAAATAAAGTTTGGGAATTTTTGGTGAAGTAGTTTCAGTGGAGAAGAATTTTTTGATAGTTTACGACAACTGACAAACAGACGACCAGGATGGACGATGAGGACAGACACCAAGTGATGACAATAACTCACATGGCCTTTTAGGGATCATTGGTATTGTTTTTTTTTTTGCTTTATTTTTAAAATTTTATCAGGAAGGCTGTCCCATGACAAATCACATATCAATGAATTTTAAAAGTCTTTAATTTTTTTTTTTCAAATGATTATTTCAATACAATTAAATAATTTAAATATCTTTTACGTTTCATAAGTTCAAGTTGTCTTTGAGAGAAAAATCTTAAAATTTTTAATACATATTGAAAATTGACAACAAAGCTTAGTATAAATGTACAATTTTTAATCCACCATAACAAAAAATTTTGAAGACATTAATTTTTGGCTGAGGCATTTTAAATTATTATTTAGCAATGTAAAATATATGGTTGTTTGAAACTATGTTCTGATAGGTAACTGCATACTGCTGATCATTTTTTTGAATGCAAACTACAAACTGCCAATTATAGTTGTAATTATTACATACTGCCGATTATTTTTTAATTACTATATATAGCTAGTAATTTCTGGAAATATTTTGTGTTAGCAGTTTTAGTTGTATATATCAGTATTTTGTTTAATTACCAGTAAATGCTGGAAATATTTTGTGTCAGCAGCTTTAGTTGTTTTTATCAATATTTTGTTTAATTACCAGTAAATACTGGAAATATTTTGTGTTAACAGTTTTAGTTTATATCAATATTTTATTTCATTACCAGTAAATGCTGGATATTTTTTGTATTAGCAGTTTTAGTTGTTTAATTACCAGTACTCCAGTAAATGCTGGATACTTTTATGTGAGTACTTGTGGTTGTTTATATAAATATCTTGTTTATTACCAGTACATGCTTATTACCAGTATATGCTACCGGTAGTTATTTTTATATTAGTAGTTTTAGTTGTTAATCTCTTTTTATATTCCTGTCGAAGATGTATTATGGTATACCGTTGTCAGTCCATCTGTCTGTCCATTCATCAACACTTCGAACCATTACTCAAATTTGCTTTAACAAATCACATGTAATTTTAATACAACATTATGGATTGAATAAAGAAATCTCCCTTTCAATTTTGAAATTTTTTAGCTCTGTCGTTGCAGAGTTACAGGACTTTAACCATTAGAATTCAGACATTTTTTTTTTTTTTTTTACATATTGCACACTTGTTCCAGAATGCCTGGATTCATTTCATCAAAACTTCACATTATTGTTGAAATTGATAAAACAAAACTCCCTCTCTGGTTTGTCATTGAAGAGTTACAAGACTTAATAATAATCATTTTAATTAAATTTTTCACAGGTTGTACCATAACTTTGTTTGCTTGGATTGATTTAATGGAAACTTAACATAATTGTTTGAATTTAGAACATAGCACACTGTCAGATTTAAGAAAATTTCCAATATGTCATTCAATACTTAGGGTGCTACCATTTGATTTTTATGGGGGGGGGGCTAGGATGAAAAATTTTGTACTGCATTTTTTTTTAGTTGTAATCTCTGTCCGGCCTTTTTATTTTTCACTCTATTCGGTCCTGCCTTTTTTTTAATTAGTTTATCCTGACTTTTTTTACATAAATTGTCATCCTGCCTTTTTTTTTGCGAAGTTGCTCATCCTGCCTTTTTTTTTACTCAAAACTCCTGTCCTGCCTTTTTTTTTCAAATTTCATCCTAGCCCCCCCATAAAAATCAAATGGTTAGCTCCCTTATGAAACTTTGGCCAATGGATAAATAAAAGGTATTTTTTAAAATGTAATGCACTAGCTCTAGTATACTTGGATCATTTACTACAAACTTTACACTGTTGTTTGGATCAGTGAATGTAAACTCTCTTTTGATTTTGAATGATGTAATTTAACTGTAAATGTGAAAGATATACTAGTGAATTTTGTCTGGCCTCTGCAAAGCCCCAGAGGGAAGACTTAGGCATGCTGTTTTCAGTGGCAGTGGCTTAAAAAATTTGTTTAAGTTTGTGATTAAGTCAGTTTAAGGGGAAGGTTTAATAGTTAGTCAATGATATTTGGTAAGCAGTTGTTTTAGCATTGGCATGTCTCAATTCCATGGAGATTTATTGGCCTCCCCCTCAATCAAGGTCTATTAACTTTGAAACTTTTGCTTAGTTTAAATGAAAAAATTTGTGACGAGATCAGTTTAAGGGGAACCACCATTGGTGAGTGACGTGAGTCAATGATATTTGGTATGCAGTTGTATCAGCATTAGCACATCTCATATCCATGGATCATTGGCTTTGAATGTTTTGCATAGTTTACATGTTTAAGTATTGCCATTTTGATTTCAACATTTTCATTTTACTGTCAAAATGACATAACGGTACAGGTAATACATATCTCTGTGTCAACAGATTATTACAATTTAAGTAAAATTATTTTTGTAGATGAGATGCACCAATTATATGCACATACATGTATCCTTTTAAACAATTTATCTATGCACAAATAAATGTAGTTGATGGGTACAAATGCTGTGAAAGAGATTTATAATTTGCAGAGTATTTAAACTCAGATCTGACAGTTTGAATAATTGTTCAGATGTTTCAAGGTAACTACTGCTGTGTATATAATGTATTTTAGATATATTTATATATTTATGAGTATGTTGATAAATAAAGTTATGTTAATATATATATATTTTATAATATATCAAGTCCATAAAAACAGAAACAAGAGGAAAAGGTTTGATAAACTTTATTAATTGAAAAATTTGTAAAGGGTTCAGCAGAACCCTGTATCTAGCCTTGCAGCTGTCAGTGTAAAGTTGTAATAATGACTGTAAAAAGTGAGTCCATTTATAAGTAAAATAAAGAATTAAAAAACTTTTTTCTTAAGATGCTATTTCTTGATCTAAAAGATTAGCTTCTGTCTAAGTTTCATATCAATCCCATCTTCTCTAGCCAAGAGTTATGATCTTGTCTCCCTACCTTTCACCCTTGGCATGGCAGATTAAGATAGAATTTGTGTATACAGCATTGCACAGTCTAGCAACCAACTGAAGTCACACCCACTACAACTACATCATTCTTGCTGTTAACAGGTAAGAACTATGGTATATATAGTTCTTAACCCCAGACTGTATCTACTTGTTAACTGGTAACCCTCTTTGGAGGAAATCATGATAGAAAACACAAGCCATATCATATCAACTGGGAGATGACTACTCCATATGCAGGCTCTGTAGGAATGATGTTACATAAAATTTGCATTTCTAAATTTGCAAATGATCTTTTATTTCTCATCCACCTTTATCCCTTTGCCATGATGATTTCTAGGGAAGGTAGGTTATGACAAATTACAAAAGTACTGCCAAAAGTTAGTATTTACAACAAGAATTTGCACATATTGTCTGACATGCTAAGCATACCCCAGCTCAATGTCAAGCAGCAGACCAGATATGAAGTCCTTCTGTTCAGTACTAGTCGAGAAATGTGTTACAAAAATCTTAAGTTCATACAACAGGGTTCTCACTATGGATTTTTGAAGGCGAGTCAAATAGTGAAAAGAAGAAATGTTATTGCTATATTATTTATCATTTCAGTTTCCATGACAAAATAGAGCAAGGAAATGACATCAAATATAGATAAACTTTTACTATATATTTTTGATATGTGTGATCAGTTGATACAACATTTACAATCTTGATGCATCTCTGGACTCACTAATCTTGAAAATGATGAGTCCAGAACTCACGGACTCACCTAAGTGAGAATCCAGATTTAACATATGGTAAATTTGAAGTATCCACATACAGTAGTAGTAGTAGGTGTCTGACAGATAAAACAAGTGCTCAAGTTTTACAACTCATCAAGCTGCTGACCAAGTATGAGATCATTCTGTTCTGTAGTACTGGAGAAATTTTTGTTGGATGAACAAAGTGATTACAATAAAATGCCCTTCCAGAGTGGGGTAAAATTACACTCATTCTAATATAAAAACATTAAACAGTACCAATTTTACTGAACCAGATGCATTTTTGATAATTAATTTTACTTCAGTGATGCTCTAGGCTGAAAAATTTGAAAATCATAAACTTAATACAAATATTGATGAGTTCATTTAACCAAAGAGGACTAAAACTGAAGTGGGACAAGAAATCACTCAAATCAGCTATGCATGTAACTGCAAATTTGAAAAAAACAATATCCATATTTTCATGCAAGAAGAGAAATACTGAGCTACTGGACAGGTGATACTCTCAAGGACTATTTGTTAACAATCCAAGACCAAAAATATTCTTATATAAACAGCTGCGCCAGAAGCACATGATTCACCCGTATTCTGCATGTTGGAATTGTTGCAATACTGTAAATTCAGAAATTATTGTGAGGTTTTTATTAATGCAAATAATGCGACTGGGTGAGTATCGCAATAATGAGAACTCGCATTCTGATATCTGATCCACATATCTTAATGCACATTTTCCTGAA